ATGTGCTGAATGACCTGGTAATTAAGAGGCTCTCTCACCTGCTGCTCGATCGCTGTTATTCCAGGAAAAGATGTCAAACAAAGAATGTGCATTACTGTACGCCTGCTACCTCCACCCCCCCCCCCTTTTCTGTCACATTTATATATCATCTCTTGCATTTATCCTCCAGTTGAAAACACACATTTGTGTTTCCAGCTACAGACGGCCCCAGAGATGTTGCCGTGGAGCCGCGGCGCGCTCGATTTGTCTGAGTGCGTGCCTTTTGTGTATTACCAGGTGCTTTGCTGGATCCACATTGCTGCTGCGATTTTAACTTGGCTGCCTACACAGTATTCCCCAGCGCCTCCCAGGGAAACCACGCTTAGGGGGGTCGGGAGGGTGAGGAGAGAGAGAGGCAGATGATGGATAGACAGAGGAGAGCAGCAGGTGAATAGATGGGCACTTCACTCCTTGTTGTGCACGGTTTACTGATCAAGAAAGCGACAGATTGCAGTTGTCTCCGTCAGTTTTTTAGGTGAGGCAGCCTGATGCCGTCTCACTGTCTTGCCCCGTTACTGCGTCCAGCAGCACAGACACGTTGGCGTTGACCTTTCTCTGCCCGGCCGTCAGTTTCACCCCTTTTAACTCTCCTCTCCCGGCACAGCGGTGCCTGGAAGCTCTCGCAGATTACCTTAATGGAGAGTGCACATGCCTGCTGGTTTGTCTTTTTACCCGGAGCCTCACTGTTTTAAGTGGAGAGCAAGCTCAACGCAGCGAGATAAGAGAGATGGAAACAAAAAGTTCCTCTTTCAAGTTCGGAGTCGCTCTTCTACCAGCTATTCATTGAAATCCGAACGTCTACTATTTGCACTATTCAATTTCAAGGTTTGCGTGACAGCTCGCAGTCAGTGAGACGGGAGCCACTTACCAGTCCTCTTTGCAGGATTAGTAATTATGTAGCAGGGGAAGTCGTTGTAGCTACAACAGCCGGCACACGAGCTGGTTTCAGTGTGTTAACTTCACCGTCTCTTCATGTGGCTTTTGGGTGATGATTTAAGCTCTTGAACTAGTTGGGTCTTGAGTTGTGACCTGCAGGCCTGATTGGTGTTTTTTTTTCAGAAGTTTACATTTAATCCTGCCTCATCCTTCTGGTTATTTGTTTTAACTGTTCCCAACGGAGCTTATAGAGTCGCAACAGCTGAAGGCCTCACAGATTGACTTATTTCCTGTAGCCTGTAGCCTTTAATAGACGTACCGGATTAGCAGTTTGCTGCACTTCTCCTCGATTATTTTTACCTCCTTCCCTCCTTCCTCCCTGGTTAATATTCAGCCGGTCTATCCGCCCTGTGCTGTCACGGCCGGCATCCCACAAGGAGCCCTGCCGTGCTTGCGGTAAATTAGGCTGTGTATCGGAGGGAAGAGCCGTGCCTGGCCTTCCCAAACCATCTGCATAACGGCAGAACTTCTGGGGAGGACGCCGCACGATCAGGGAAACTAAATAACATGGGATGATAAAAATATTCACAAGAAGAACGAGGATAGATGTCTGAATGCTTGGTTTAATTATAATAACCAGTTATTAAACGATACATTTCAAATATAGAAGTATTGAGTGATGAGGAAGAGTCTAAAAGAGCTGTGCGACACGAATAGCAGTAAATTACATAAAAACAAGAAAACAGTTACATATTGACACACAACATGATATTTTACATTTCATTTTAAACTCTCAACCTTCAGACATCAATGCTTCGTCTCTACCAGCTGAGCTACCCGGACTCAGTATTATTATACTGCTGTCAAATTATTTTACAATACAAGTTTTCCTTTCTTTAGGAATCTGGTGGCGTTCATTAATATGAAGTTTGTCTGCTGAAATGAAAATGTCTTGCCGTCATCTAGATCATTTAAATCAGCACAGCTGAAGAGCAAACACACTTCAAAGTTGTCTTGACACGTCGAGGACGGAGCGTTCTGTTTCACCGAGTTTCTTAAACTGGCAATTTCTTTTTTCGATTTATTTCCTTCTTGTTTATTTATTCACCGATGCCACTTGCTTCCCCTGATGGCTGACGGTTCACAGTCGAGACTATTCAAAACACAGCGGGAGAAGACCTTGTGCTGCTCGGCAAGTGCAGAGAGGTGAGACAGGCAGCATTCAGAGAGCCACACTTCAAACTGTAAGGAACACTTCACAGACATAAAGCCCTCAAAAAGTACTTCACCCAAAGTTTTACCAGTTTCTACTGAAACAGTTAGCCAAGTAAATGATTACTCAATCAATATAAAATGATTAAACTATTTAGATAATGAAGGAAACATCTCATTTCACGTTTTTCTTTGTCATATATATTTATCCATTTTGGACAGAAAGCATTTGCATCCTCTCAAGTACATGTTTTATTTCAGACACAGCATTAATAGTTGTGACTCATGTCGCCCCGAGGTGCAGCTGCATATGTGTTTAAGTATGGAGTGAAAGCTGTGAATTTAGATTTAGCTATTAAAGAATGTTTGCATATGTGCAGTCGGCAGCTTTCTTACGGTTCTGCGAGACTTGAAGCCTCTCTTACACCCCCCGACTCCCTCTGACCCACTTGTTTAACATGCTCGAAATATAAAGCTACGCACGCCTGCCTCTTCCAAATCCATCAAAGCAAACCCGATCCACTTTCCTGCTCACCTCCTGATTCTCCATACCAAATGTCCATGCATACGATTTGCAGCAACTTATCTTCCCGAGTTGAAAGTCCAGTTGATCAGGTGACTGTAAAGGGAAATAAATCCCCACCTTTCCCTCTGTGTGCTCCAGGATGTGACTGTGATGATGCAGAATATTATTATGGATGTGTGACGATAGTTGTTGTGGGTGAGTTGGCAAACACCTCACGTCACGGACTAAATTTTCCTCCGTGTATAAATAACCGACTGAAGGCGGCAGAGACTGGTGACTCAAACAAAGTGAAAAGTTGAGAACGTGGCTCGGTGGAATGCAGCACGGATCTTTATAACTGTGAGAGAGAATGTCTGTTGATTGCGATATAAGAAATAGATGCAAAAATCCATTTGTCTGTGAACCAGCCTCCCCTGGTGGACGGAGATTTTCGGCTTAATGTGCTTTGCATAAACCCAGAGAAACAGCACGTGGAGTTGGCCTGTGTGATCTGAGCGTATTGGTCGTTGGAGGGGTGGGGGTTGTTCGTTTTTTTTTTTTTACCTCGCTTGTTTGTCTTGTCTTATCTCTCAAGGCCCACAGTAGCGGACTCCCTTTTATTTCGGCAGGTTAATGCTCTGGACTGTGCTCTCTATCTTGGCAGTGCAGCACAGGTCTCGTTGGCCGGGGCTCACACATCTCATCGCTTCTGATTGCGGCCTCCCGTTGTCACCCAGGTCTTCTGTTATTTCCTTGACCAACGTGCATCTTTTCCTGGAGGTTCTTAGTCTCTGTAGTTGCTGCAGACCCAGACTCGCTGACAGACATCGCTTTCTTCCTGTGATAGAGCGGTCACCAGGAACCCACCCCATCAAGGCTCCTTTATGTAAGTTCAAATGATGCTGGCGTCGCGTGGGCTCGCACAGATTGTTTTGGCTGTCAGGGTTATTGTCTGCCAGCTTATGTGGAAATATATTGGCTGCGAATGACGAAAGCGGAGACGATAAACTTGTTCCCATTTTCTGTTCTCGCTCTTCTGCCCACACAACGTTTACTCCTGCAGTGATCAAGATGACGGCTTTGCATACAGCTTCGGAGAGTATATCCACAGACTGCAGTTTGGAAAGTTTTTAGGCTCTATTCCAAAGAGATGCTGATCTTTATAAAAAAGTTTCTTTTGGCAAGCCATGGAGTTGTATATCATTTCAACTTCTGTCAGGCCCTTAACCTTCTGCAGTTGATGAATATAAATGTATAAATATATTTTCATTCTCTTCTCAGCTTTATGTTTATCTGGAGGCAGCGTAGCCTACTCAGCTTTTCGCGTGTCGTGGATGCTCAGTCACAGTAATAAGCCTTAGTCTATAGGCCTATAGCTTTGTCAGCCATTTGTAATGGGGCCCTTGAGTCAGGTCCTTGTTAGCTGATGCACAATAACCTCCCGCCTAATGAAGTGTAAATCTGGGAGGCTGCGACGGGGGCCAGATGAACACGGCCGGCAGCCTTGATGTGCAGCGGAGAGCTCAATGCTAATGCTATTAGCCAGGAGGTCAGTCCATTTCACATCACCCCGTGCTCAGTTTATCAGCGCTTCATAATGGGGCTGGATGTAAGGGCACGGTGTTGAAACGGTTGATCGCACTCTGAGTGCGCTATCCTCTCCAGCGGATGGATAGAATGAGAGACGGGTTCACAACAGTAGTGCCGTTTGATAGTTGGATTAACGGCCGGACCTTCTGCCCTGAACAGGCTTCTTCTGTGTTGAAGTTTGTCCACTGGAGAGCGTCGCAGCTCCGTCGGGCCTCCGTCTGGCCGCTCTTCCTCCGCGTTCATTAACAGTCCATTTGTTGCTCCGGCCCTGAGGAGCCGTCCTCTGCTGCTTACTCACTCAGCTCCTCCTAATGCTGCTGATGAGCCTTTAATGTACAGATGGTCCGCTTCATGCAGCTCTATTAAGCCTCAGCACTTTTTATACTTTTAGTTTCACCAGGTTTTTTATTGTATCCATCTCTGATGTTATTGGTTTTTCTACGTGCTTAAAGTTCATATTGAATTAATAAGCTATTTGGTCAAATATGAAGGACTGTCTTGTGATTTCTGTGTAAAAAGCATGATATTCAATATTCATTTATCATCCCGCAGGTTATAGTAGGACACTATTAGTATTCATAGCAAACCATCTCCCCGTATGTTAACCCTTATCAAACATCATAATGCATAAATAATGCATTAACTGATTGTAATTCAGAGAAAGTGCTCCTGTCTCACGATAGCTCTTTTCTGATGGTCATGTGAAGTGTCCTGGCGTGTTTGCTTGCACATCTGTGCACAAACACACAAATTAACCCTTCGCATGTTTCTCTTCTAGCCAACTCCGGGGCCTGTTTCCCTAAGCAAGGTAACTCACCGGGCGAATGGCTCCCTGCTCTTTTCATCGCACTTTGAGTTCATTCATTTTTTCCAGTCACATTTTATTTTTATATTCTTTTTTGTGCACCCATACATTCTCCTACCGGCTGTGTCCGTCTCCCTTCCTGTTCGCCGTCATCCTCGGGCTGTGTCGCCCGTCAGTCAGAGCGCCGATAAAAGGCCAACGGCCGTCAGAGTGATGCTCCTCCTTAAAGGATGGACAGCAGAATCAGTAGAGTCCAGACAAGAGACAGTGAGAATATGTAGAGAAAGTGTCAGAGGGTGTCGGGGGATGGAGGGAAAGCTCAGATAGCTGAACAGGAGGAGCGGGTGAGAAAGAGCGAGAACCAGGGACAAACATGAAGGAAGTGTTCCTGACTGACTTTCAATCACCACAAATTTCAGTATTTAGTTTTTCTCTGTTTCCTAAGAAAACAACGAAAGCCACTTAAGACAACAAGCATATCACAATGGAATATCCGGCAAGACAAACGTTTGAGCCTCTTCCTTTGATCTATCGGAGAAGCTTTTTATTTTTCTTCCCTTCAGAACTTGAAATCAATAATTCTGCAGGGAACTGCTTCGTCCTGGTGGCAAATCTAACATCCCATTTCTCTCTCTCTTGCTCTGTCTCTCTCCTGTCCACTCGCATTCCCTCTGCTCCGTTTGTTTCCACCTGTGTGTGCCTGCTCTGTGCGTGTGTGTACGTCTCCACCCTGAAATCTTTCTGCACGCGTGTGTGTGTGTGTGTGTGTGTGTGTGGGGATTCACCTCTTTTTCTTTTCCACCCCCTTCCTTCTTTTCTTCCTTTCCTTTATCCTCCCTTCCGCTCTTCTGTCCTCGTCCCTCAGATGCCGAGCGTGGTGGCGGTCACATGATCTCGACAGATGACTTGGAGTATCCGCGAGAGTACCGGACTCTGGGCAACAGCGCTCGGCGCTTCTCCAACGTGGGCCTGGTGCACACGTCGGAGCACCGCCACACCGTGAGCGCCGCCCAGAGCCTGGAGGCCCTGACCAACCTGCACAAGGTGGACATGGAACGCAAGAGGGACGCCTTCATGGACCACCTGAAGAGCAAGTACCAGCAGCAGCAGCAGCTGCAGCATCCGCATCACAGCCCGCACCACAACCCGCCATCTCCCTCGCCCTCCCACGCCAGCATGAGGGGCACGTCAGAGCGGTCTGCACGAGAACAGGTACGCAGTTCACCGCCTCATGAGGGATTTATTGTCCTTCAAAGGAATTGTGTCTGATAATATTTATCAATACATTTCATGTGTCTGTTTTTCATTTGGAGATACGTGACTCGTTTGGCGTTCGGTACGCGTTTCTTTTGGCGATCAAACTGGTCAATGTTGTCATTTTGGGGACAGAAAATAGTCTGCATACGTAGAGAGAAAAATAACACTTAATAGTTTGGGTCCAGTCAGGCAACAAAAAGTCTCTTGTCGGGTAACTTTCAGAGTGAGAGCAGCACAAAGCTTCACATTGTGCTCATTGAAATAATTGAGAGACGGAGAGAATAAGTGAGGGACGTCCGTCAGGAGGTCTTTGTGTTATTAGAGTGTCGAGCTTTTCTTTGTTTCACTGCTGCCAGGACCTGCAGAACGTCACAATGCTGTTGAGGTGTGAAGGAAGACGAGAAGTCACACACATCAACGTATTAAATGCAAATGCAGTTATCTGAACTTATCAAAAAAAAACTGTTCAATTCAACGTGACGTGACAGAAACGCACACCAGGAGACAGGACAGAATGAAAGGGAGCGAGGGTGAGGGAGCGAGGGCGGGTGAAAGGCAGGTGGAGTCCGTAGTTGCCGTGGCAACCTCTTTCCATAAATGGCAAGTAGGGATATCGCGTTGCAAAGGTCAGGTTGTGTAGAGAAGCAGGAACTGCACGATGATGAAGACCGAAGGGAGAGAGGAATAACGAGGCAGACTGTTAAAAAATATATATCCAGGAGACTGGACAGACCCTGAAGTGACGGGGTGTCTTCTCTGCACGGAAGGAGGGGAGGGGGGGGGGGCGCAGAGCCCAGGATTTCTTGTCATCTCGTGGATGTGCAGAGCGTGGACGGCGAGGGAGGCGGGGGGGAGGGAGGAGCTGGAGAGGAGCGCAGCAGCCAGTCAAGCAGCCCGCTGCTCAATTAGCCAGCACCAGCAAGAGCCAGCCACCCATCTGCGAAGGAGTTAATCGGCTGGTGTTGTAATGAATTAAATAAAGAGTTTCCGCCGCATGTGCTACTGGAGAGCAAGAGAGAGAGAGAGACAGAGAAAGGGAAAGAGAGGTAGACTGAGCGAGGGAGAGGGGAGGGAGGGTTAGAGAAGCATAGTGAGGGAGAGACGGGTAAAAACACGATGAGGATACGCTGCACCTGACGGACAGCCTGGGATGACCGGAGTGGTGGACAGGTGCACTGCAGGTGAGACGGGACTGGAAGCTTGAAACTGGTAGCTGGATGCTGTTGTAGAGAGGTGTGTGTGTGTGTGTGTGTGTGTGTGTGGGGGGGGGGGGGATAAGGACATGCCAGCTGGGATTACATTCCACGCCTGTTGTGTTTATTGTGGTTGTTGTGGTGACGGCGTGCATATGCAGCAGGCTAGACGAAGGCTGAGTGGACGACACTGTAAACTGTACACAGATTATTTTTGTGCGTCCGGCTGAGCGTTAATTTGCTGTGCAGACGAGTGTAGGTTTTTTAGAGAGAGAGAAAAGGGCGAGAGGCTGCGGTAACGTTTGAGATGGCAATCTAGACCAGAGGATTGAAGGGGGGAGAGAGAGAGAGAGAGAGAAAGAGAGAGAGAGAGAGAGAGAGTAAGAATGGTTGTGGTGAGGAAAGGGGGGGCGGGGGTGCAGAGAGGATGACGACATGAGAAAGAGACGGGAGGTGGAGGAGGGGTGGAGTGAGTGCAGCCTGCTTTACATGCCGGTCAGGTAACGCAGCGCTACACTCTGTGAGGCTACGTCCTTCACTGTGCACACACACACACACACACACACACACACACACACACACACACGTGCCTGTGTGTAAATACAGGGGAGTCTGTATCGCATTTTTGCCCCTCAGCCCAAAGTTTAATCTGACATCTCAATACATACTCCAGGAACACTGTGTCATTTGAGATCAAAGCATATTTAATACCACAGGATTTTAATGATGACTAGATTCATTTGAGCCAAGAGTTTCATCCGGGAGGTAGCCTGTCAACGATTGACAGTAGAAAACCATGTCTTGAATATAAAGTCTGCACAGAAGAAATGGATTCAATTCAATCGTATTTATTTGTACAGCCCAAAATCACAAATCTGCCTCAAAGAGGGTTTTACAATCTGTACATCCTCTGTCCCAGGACCCTCGCATCACAACAGGAAAAACTCCCCCAAAAAACACTTCAATGGCAGAAATAAAAGCAGAAACCTTTGGGAGAGCAACAGAGGAGGGATCCCTCTCTCAGGATGGACAGAAGTGTGAAAGATGTCATGTGTACATGACAGAATTACAGCACAGTCAATGCATATGATATAAATGATTCATAGAGTGAGAGTAGAAAGCAGAATAATGATTGAAAATTGAAAAGGGACGGTTGCAGTGGTGACTGCCAGGATGAAGGGTTGTTAAGCTGCAGTCAAATAGGCTCTCTGGAGTTTATGCTCACACCCTCTCAGTGCCGTATTTGCGACTCAAAGTCCAAGTTCAGTGTATCTGCGGTTGTCAGCGGAGCAACGGTTAAAGCACCACGAGGCGGTGAAGAATGAATGTGTTTACTTTACTTGTGAGTGAGCCTCATTAAAGCAACAAACAAGAGAAACACTGGCAGAGGCAGACACACCAGACCACAAATCACCTCCGCACCATTAAAGCCAGCCCTCAGTCATTTAGCTTTGTGGGGAAAAATACAATTATTAACGATGTCTGAACAAGTGAACAGCAATTATTTATGACGCGCCGATGGAGCTGCTGAGCCGCTGTCAGTTCAGCAGCTTTTCAAGGACAACGCTTTACTGGCTAATGACACAGAATGATCGGGTAGTCAAGGCCAACTCGAGTCCAACCTCCTGTATGTTATCCCTGAAAGTGAACCACTTTACTACCATGACCTCTCACCCCTGAGTCTTACCGAGAACTAGCTTTGTGACCCTCAGAGGAGGTGAAGATTTACCTGCATAAAAACTTTCTATGAAGACAAACAGCTTCGCTTTAAACTACGTGATAATATAGTTTTTTTAGAGCATTATATTTTAATTTAATTTTTTTAAAGGTGTTTTTTGTTTTAACCCATGATGGAGAGTTTAATCCTTTAATCCTCCCGACATTAAATTAATTAATACGACATTAAAAAAAAAGTAGATAACAACTAGCTAGGAGACAGAAATTCTCCTCAGCGTCACATCAAAGACGTGTCTTTAATAATAATTGCTTTGACATATTTTGGTAGAAATGTATATGCTATGGGGGAAAAAAGAAGCGTGGGTGGAGATTATGCTCCATATCGTTTTGAGTGTCCCACTAGGCAGATATATGCACTGTGTTTCTTTTTTATTATAAACAGCACGGCCACATTAAAATGCCTGAGAATAGCTTCTAAATTTCAGAATGAAGGTTAGAACATTCACTTGGCTCGGTTTTATATCCCAGATAGATGACTTGTAATGGGTTTCATTATGTTGCTGCTATTGTTCCCATCTACTAGTGTTATTATACACCAACTACATTGTGTCCCATTTCCATCTTATCGCTCCACTAATACCACCGCTATTAACTCCAAGCAGGTTTTAAGTACGTAGTGCGTTCACACTGGAAAGGTGACTGAGTTTGACTCAAAGATGCAAGTATGCAGATTTAATCTGCTTGATTCTTGAGCGGGCTGTCGCGTTGCATTCGTTTAAAGACGCGGTGAGCAGCACATTAGCAGAGCAGCAGCTTCAGTGCTTTGTTTGGTGAGTTCTCACTGCAAAAGTGACAAATAAAGTAAACTTAAAACGGTGCAGGAAGTAAATTTAAAAAGGAGGAGCTGCTTGTAGATGGGAGGTAAAGCAGCTTCAGGAACAGAAAGTAAACACTGCATATTTGGAAAACCCTTTTTGACGTGTCTTTTTGAAGTCTAACCGGCAGTGTCATCCTGTTAGTATAAAACGGTTAAATATGTTGATTTCTTGTATAGTTTGGGGCGTCTGTGGCTCGGGGGAAAGAGCGGGTCGTCCTTTAATCACAAGGTTGTCGGTTTGATCCCCGGCTCCTGTCGTCCGCACGGAGACACTGAACCTCACGTTGCTCGCCGGGCGCCCAAAATACTTAGGATGGGTTAAATGCAATGTTCAACGTTCATGTATATATGTGATGAAAAAATAAAGTTTACGTTGTTTCTTACTAACTGCAAAACAGTATACTTTAAAAGGCGGCGCACACATTTATATACAGTAAGTATTTAGTGTAGAATTGGGACACGGCTACCATAAAGTTTGGAGTTTTATTGGCGGTGTCATTTCAAAGTCAAAGTTTGATTCAAATTTGTACAAAACCGCACTTCTTGCGTACCCACTGCCAATTGTTTTGTATATAGTACTTGCAGAATACTATTAGCGTGTAGTATGGAATTGGGACACAGCGCTAGGCTTTATAAAATCTGTGTTAGACCAAATGTTACTTAATCATGGGTCTTTGGATTCGTGTAACTATAACACTTGATAATGTATCAAATCCAAGCAAGCAAGTTGCACCACAGTACATTAAGAGAAGAGAGTCAGAGAGCGAGAGAAGAGCGTAAAGTGAAAGAGACCGTCAACGAATGGCATCGGGGCCAAATGAGGGGACATTAAGTGAAAGATCAGATCACAATAAAGTAATAATCGGCTGAAAACGCTCCCTCTGATGCTCCTGTTTACTGAAGTAATCGAGGCTTTTCTAGAGACAGTGTTAAAATGGAAAGCTGATGATGAAAAACCTCCAACTATCATAAATCAAAACTTGCCTGTCACTTTTTTTCCCTCCGTGCACCAGGAAGATAATGTGGTTCCTGCAGAAGGGACTGAAAATTGCCTGCAGATAAGAATAAGAACTAGAATAAGAGTTTGGATTAGAATTAAAATTCATGAACTCTGCCCAATCTTTTTTTAATTTCTCATGTCATTTTTTGCCTCGGCCTGGTTTTGACTGTGGGGTAATTCTGTTTTAATGGAAAGCTCACATCCCGAGGCACCTTTTCCTACATGACCGGGCAGCAGGGAGGGCAGAACGGACACGAGGGATTCAGCGTGGGCTGCTGGGAATTCAAAATGAAAAGTAGAATGACGGGTGGATGGAGAGTGACGCAGACAGCAGCGAGCGAGGAGGAGACAGAGCGGCGGCTTGCCTTTTGGTGGAGAAGTCTGGGAGAGAGGCCAACATCGGAACAACAGAGTGGGCGGCTGTTTGATTCAATTTCACTCTTTTCATTTCCTCCCCCTTCACCAGTTAGGGGCCAACAGCGCAATCTTGTTTCAGGTGCGCTGTAACCCGACGCCTGCAGAACACAGCCCCCTTCCTACATTACCACCAATCACACGTAATGATTGTGGTTTAGATTCGATGGTGCTGTCCACAATTTTAACGGATTTCATAGATTGCCTGTCAGAAAACGGAACACGCGACAAGAAAACGGTTTAGGAAATGCAACAGATTTTGCTTTTTGGGGAGGATGCATTCACACTCTTATCCCCTCTCCAGTCCTGCTTGTTTAAAGCACCATTATTTATTATTTTTGTTTCGACCAGTATGAGAGAAGAATCTAACTTTTCTCTTTCTGTCTCCCTCGCTTCCCTCTTTTGTCCTTCATGAACTTCACAGCAACAGCCCAACTACTGGAGCTTTAAGGTCAGTGCTGCGTGTCTAAGTGTCCCTGTGTGTTTGTCAGTCTCCTGTCCATCGTGTGTGTGTGTGTGTGTGTGTGTTTGTGTTCTGTGGGATTACGTCAGACTCCTTGGGCATCACCAGCCTATCTCCTTGGTCCTCTTATGCAACACCCAGATCACTTAGCATCTCTCTGCTCTTCTGGCAGTATGTGTGTGTGCACGTGTTATTGTGTGTGTGTGTGTGTGTGTGTGTGTGTGCGTGCGCTTGCAGAGGTGTCGGGGGGTGGCGACAGTTTAAACTTCTCCAGCACCATTTAATCTGCAGAAGACGTCTCGGGATTTATGATACCTCAGGCAGCTGGCATTAATGGCTAGAAGCCATGTGACCTTGCTGAAGTATTACTCAGACTGACTGAGACATTAAGAAGACATTTCAGACGTGCCGCTGAGGCATTACTGAAATAATACAAAGACATTAGCTCAGAGGCTTGAGTCATGGCTGGGCTGCAGAGGGTGTGTTATCCACAGGTTGCAGACAGGAAACATGGGCAGAGAGAGCAGCTTCAAGATGTATTGCAAGTTTTAATCTCGTATGCTGGATTTAAAGAGTCGAGCCCATTTGTTGGCCGGTGTTTCCCTTTGTTGTGGCATTACACTTCACAAAGGCAGACAGGGGGGTGTGTTATCTAAACGGAGCACGTTAAAGAACATATCGATGTGTGTGTGTGTGTGTGTGTGTGTGTGTGTGTGTGTGTGTGTGAGGGAAGAGTCCAGGGCTTATCTGTGGCGTAGTCTTCTGAATCCCTGCTTACAATATCATTTGGACAGGTTGTAAATGTCACTGAATATCAATAGCCACATCCCCTGACCCATGGGGAAGGCGAAGTAATTCATCCCCGACTCCCTCAATTACTTAAACTTCCAACAAGAGGTCAGACAACTAGAATTTAGAGCCTAGTCCATCACATAAATCTGTTACACGACACGACCGAATGATTTAACGCCGCAGGACTTTCAGGTGGTTTGCTCAACTTTGTGGGTATCTTAGTATAAAAAACATCAAACTAACTAATTCTGATTGTTGATGAAAGAATCGGATCTGAAACGTCTAAACGCTGAATTTGCTGCAAACTAACGATTATTTTCATTGTCAAATCATCTGTGGATTCTTTTCTCAATAATTGTAATTTTTTTAAAATAATGAAGAAATCAGAATTTCTTAGAGACGACTTTTTGCTTCAGACATTTTGTTTTCTGTGATCAGCAGTCAGCAACAATATAGAACAGAGAAAAGACTGAAAAGAGTTGCCTATTCATTTTTTGATGATAAACTAATCAATTAATTGTTGTAGCTCTATAAAAAGTGTAAATGTTTCTTATCTTCTGAGTACAGGAAGTTGCTTTTTGTGAATCAAGTGAGGCAGTTCAATGACTGAACAGTGAGAGTTTATTTATTGGCTCCTCGAGGTGCTGCAGCGTATTAAACTGTAGAATGAAACAACCAAAGTGGTCCAAGTGGAAACAGATCTGAAGCTCTTTGCTTTCAACACAACACGGTCGTCGCCACCTTTTACGTTCACGTCTCATCCGCTTCATTTCGCAGTAAAGCTTGTGAAAGCCTCGTCCTACTCCCTCATCCCACCGGCTCTGATCTAAGCTCGACTCTCTGGATTCACCTGCCTACCCTAAATAAACCCGAGATGAAGCTATTACACTCATCTTCAGCTGTATGTATATCAAGGATGTAATCAAATGATTATTATAAACATAAGCTGCAGGTGTTGGACATGGAATAACGAACGGTTAAATATGTATCCTAAAAGAAATTGTCTGTTGATCCCTGCCATGTCCATCAGCTACTCTTTCTGTATTTTCTATCAGAGAAAAACGAGAATCACTTCCAGCAATCTCAGCCACCATCTCCCCTCTGGAAGAGAGGGCCAGTCTGCTCCCTCTCCTTCTGAGCAAATCGCTTCACATCGACGCAAAACTCACAGCAATTTGGCAAAGCAATTTGTTCCGTGCATTGATGACTCCAGGTATTATAAAGAGACGGGACCCTAGAGGGGTTGCGGATTATGTGTCCGGGCAGAAGATTGGCCTGAGAGCTGGAGACGATGGAGAGAAATAATGATAGTGGAGGAAGAGCGAGTAGAGACAATTGGATTGGAGAGAGGGATCGATTTTAAGGAGCTGTTTTCTCTCTCCCTTTTTCTAAAAGTGAGAGCTGTGAACTTCTTTCGTGTGGAAAAAGAGCCGGTTAAGAAGGAGAAAAGTGCAGACAGCAATCATGGCACCTGGATGCGGCTTTGCCTTCTGCCACTAGAGACTGAGGCGAAGGCAGATCTGTTGACGTAAAGCAGCTCAGCAAGAACCAGAAGTGAGCTGAGGGACAAATGAGGGACGGGATTAAAAAGGAAGGAGAGGAAGACGGATAACTCAAAGCACAGAGAGACACCAGGAAGAGAAAGACATGATTAGAAGGAGCTGGAGGTAAAAACAGTAGAAGAGATGCGGTTAAGGTGTGAGGATTGTGATCTTAACTATTTCACACCTGTCACTCAAGGAGTCAAACGCCTCATTGTCATTTCACACGCATCACGCCTGTCTCTGACATTTCTAGTTAATGTATATCATACACAAGTCCATCAGAATGGCATATCACTTAACAAGGAGATTACTACATGTCCATCTGGTCTCTCTGTCTGTCTGTCGGCATCAAAGTTCAATTTAATATGACAGCAGTCTTAAATGTTAACATTAAATAGCAATAATAAAAACAAGCTCACTACAGTTTCCAACAGCCCGATTCTAAAATAAGGGCGGGGAATTCATCGCTAAACCTTATCTGTACACTTTACAAAATACTCACTTCTTTAACATTTAACCGGCATCTCCACACTGTTCCATTACTCTGGATACGATGTGTTTAACTGGTCCTCCAGTTATTCCTTTGCATCTTTCACCAAAACATACTGTGTGGGTGAACTACAAATCAATTTTTAAGTTGACATTCATATTAAATATGTGAAAAAATCACATCTTGCGCAAGGTTAAGAGGTTTGCAGACTGTGTAAAATAACATCGAAGTGTCAGAGTTGGATGAGTTGTGCTCTCCCAAACATAAAAAATACATACCATCACTTGACCTGAATCCAGAATGTCCCTGTGTGTGTGTGTGCGTGCGTGTGAAACAAGAAACATGGTGGGAGGTTGCACTGAGTTTAATGCGGTTTGTAGCCTAAGGACTGTTGTCAAGCTTTCCACTCCATTCACGTCTGTTCCGTGTAAGATCATCCTGTTCCCGACTCGTTCCTCTCCTCTGACGTGCCCTTATAACAGTGTAGAGTTCTCCACAGTAATTGAGTGCTGTTGAAAAAGTCTGGATCTCTCTCTGAAAGAAAAGGGTGAGGTGGAGGGAGGGCAGGAGGGGAGGCATCGAGGGAGGATTGTGGAGCAACATAACCAGATTCCCTCAAATGGAACTCCATCACGTATAACACTGACATGTCTAGCAGGACCAGATGCATGACCAGATGGTGTGTTCGCACATCATATTTACAATGCAAAACGAGATATTTTCGGTTTTCATGTCACATAAACCACCAATATTGAAGTCAGTGTTTACAGCCTGTTGTAACGCGGCGAGCTGACGTAGAGCATACATAACGACAGCTGCTGTAAGCTTACGCACATGCATACATTGTGTGTTTCATCGTCTTGTTCAGCAGCACATTCGTAGTCGGGAGAATACAACTTTACTCGTTTACTTTCCCTTCACTGTTTCTTTTTCAGCTGGTACAGAAATTTGAGCCTGCAAACACCGAGAGACCTGAGCTCAGTCATGCAGCACCGTATTCTCAATTCCCTTTTCCTTTTCTTGGAAAGCTCCTACTAGGTTGTTCCGCCTTGAAGTAAAATTCCTGCATACGATAGTAGAATGACTCAAGATTTCGAAACGGAGCTGCTCTGCGTCTCCCCTCTCAGCCATACAGGGGAAAAATATGAGCAGAGTCTCTCCGAAGAAATCTTTGACATGTTTCAGGCGTGGTGGTCTTTTCAGCCATGCCCATTCACACTGAAAGCTGCTGTTGCATTTCTGTGCCAAATATATCTCAGGGTGTAAACATGGTTAGGCACCCGGTTCCACTACAGAGCCGGTTCCAAGTTGGTTAAATATCTGCAATTTGTTGAGTCAACTGCCTTTTTTTGTTAGCATTGAGAAGGTGATATGTAGCCTTCTGACGACTATGTAGAAGAAAAAGGTTTAAGTTTATTCAGGAATAATTAAACATTTAAGGAGATGTGCTCATCTGCTAACTGAGAGCTAGATCCCTCTCATGTCTGTACAGTAAATATGAGGCTCACGCTAGCAGCTGGTTAGCTTAGCTTGGAAAGCATGGAAGTACATTAGCTTGGTTCTGTCCGGAGGTAACAAAACCTCTAAAGCGAACTGATGGACGTGATGCATCTTGGTTGTTTAATCCCCAAAAAACTGTGTATAAATGAAAATATGATGTTTTACGGTGGGTCTGACTATTTCTTGGTTGGGACCAGTAACTTCCTGGAGACTCAGCTTTTTATTTACTTTACAGACATGAGAGTGGTGTCAATCTTGTCTTCTTACTCTAAATAAATATAAATAAAAGAAAGAGAATAGGCGTATTTGCCAAAGTTTCCAAATCTTCCTTTAAATATGAAGTTAACTGACTTTTGCTTCCTAAAATGAGTGAAATATAGGCAGACTTAAAAGAAGGGATTCAAAGAGAATCTAATTAATTTACAAGAAAAGACTATCGAACCCTAACCTTACTAAGTACAGTCCTGTGTCCAACCCCCTACACTCTTCAAACCGCCTCTGTAGCGTGACACCCTGCAGTACGTGCTGCTGTGTGCTGTGTTGTTGTTCCGTGTGGTCACAGTTTAGATAAATGAGCCTATTAGAAAACAAGGTGGGGGTTATCTGTCAGCATCACCGTCCCCCTGCGTGCACAGACACAGTCTGCCGCCACCATCACCGGACACCACCACTATCATCCTCTGTGTGTGTGAGTGTGTGTGTGTGACTGAATTATGTATGATGGTGACAGAAGGGAGCGCACGTTATAAAAAGGATGGTTCAGCGTCTCAGTCATGATAGTGGTTTGTTTCTTGCCCTGTAAACAAACGTGTGAAAGCATAGCAGTTAATTTAAAGTGGTGGTAGTTAGATGTCGCCACGGCTCGTTTAGTTTAGTCGGCTGCAGTGCAGCTAAAATTACTGGATCAATTGATTGATCGAAGGTAGATTAGCAACACTCATTTAACTCGCTGATAAATTAGTCACATGATTAATTGGTACCGATTTATCAAACCACCATGCTAGTCGCTCTGTGAGGCTCTACGTAGGCACAGTGATGCTCTGAGCTAAATGCTAACGTCAGCATGCTAACATTCTCACAATGGCAACATGCTGGTGTTAAGCATGTGCAACGTTTACCATGTTCGCCATCTTAGCTTAGCTAATAACCATGCTAATGTGTGTTAGTTAACGCTGAACACAAAGTAAAGTTGAGGCTTGATGGGGATGGTGTTAGTTTTTATCAAGTACTTCTTGTTTTGGACACATTTAACCGTGAATGTCTGCACAAAATGTCAAGGCAATCCATCTAACAGTTGTTGAGATATTGTAGTGTTGCATTGACCAACTGACGGACTGACATCGCCATCCAGAGAGCTGAAAATATCATTTGCTGGTTTCAGTTTGTCCAGTGTGACAATTTGCTGCTTTTCTCTGATTTATTCTAAACTGAATAACTTCTGGGTTCGCACTGATGGTCAAATAATCAATTTGAAGATGCCTACTGAGTTATTTTTGTCAAATTAACAAAATCCTTAATGTTTGTGTAGTTCTGCTGAGAACAGAGGTGGCCGTCTGTGTAGCTGCTGTCTCACATTAATGAAAGCCGCAGTAGATCCATGCTGCAGTTTGACTCAGAGAAGGTAGAGAAGGAAATCCTTGGAAAGAAGGAGAAAACTGTTGTGCTCATGGTGCACGGAGGAGGAGGAGGAGGAGAGCGGCACAGCTACTGTACTGTGGCTAAGGATGTGTCTGCCTCTGCCATCCAAACAACCAGCAGACAGCATTCTGGGAGCTCATTACAGAAGCCTCTGAGCTGGAGGAGATGCTACAGCGGTGGGGGGGATCAGGGAGCCAGTTCAGTGAGCTCAGCCCCAGCTGCACTAACAGTCTTTCAGCGAGGGACGCTTGGGCATAGGCCAGCAGGATAAACCAACAGTGACAGCGCGGGATTTGCCTGAGCTTCTCCTCCCATCCCACAAGCATTCATTTAAAGTTGGGAGCGGCACGGGGACAGGAGTTGGGATGCGGGAGGTGTGCAAAGTGCAGCAAACATGACATAACTTATGCTGAGCTGGGGGAGCACAGTTTTCCGGCTTAATTTTGCTCCTTAGCCACCATAGGTGATCCATAAAGGCTGGTGCCCTGGAGTGCCGAGCCATTTGAGAACAATTGTGCTTTTCTGCTGCAGCATTCAGCTGATGTCTTGTACTGTGACGCGGCTAATTCTTAGTGAATGGTTGGTAGCTAATTCATTGTCAAGGCCTCGTTAATCTCGTTATGTGGTTGATTGTGTGGTGTCTCATTGTGTGCTCACTGTCTCTTTTTTTCCGCACAGTCCTACTCCATCTGTCCAATCCATTCTCTCCGCCTTGATTCCACCTTTCAGTAAATAATTGTGTCTCCCCCCCATGTGTCTTCAACCCGCTGCAGAGCCGCAGTCCACGGCATTCCCAGTCCACCCAGTCTGGGCTCGCCGACCAGGCCGCCAAGCTCTCCTTCGCCTCGGCCGAATCCCTGGAGACCATGTCAGAAGCCGACATCCCCATCGGGTTCAACCGGATGAACCGATTTCGCCAGAGCCTGCCGCTTTCCCGCTCTGCCAGCCAGAATAAGCTACGATCTCCAGGTTAAGATTTGAAGCTTTGCTGGCCGTCACAACATGCTGGTTGGACTGGAGGCAGATTTACAGCTGTGAAGCTGGTGGTGTGCTTACTCAGAGCGGGACAAAGTGATCTACTCTGCTGCTGAAAACGGAAGAGTAGTGATTCCTCAGACAACAAACCTTTTTTTAGTTTAGACACAATGAGCTTGAAAGTGTAGTTTATTATATTCACCATGGAATTATTAAAGCATACTATTTTGTGTAGATAGCTATTTGTTTATCTAACATTTGTGCTACTGTGAGAGTACAGGTTCGACAACAGGTTTACTACAAAAGGGCCGATTAGTGAAAGCCTGGTCCAGATCCAGGAGTGGTGTTACGTTAAGTGAGATTTAAAAAAAGTGACCGTGACAGATCGAGGTCATTTCTTGAATGAGGAGTTGAGACAGAAGGAGATCTCTCCTCTCCATGTCTCTTTACTAACCTCTTTGTTTTCTTCTTTCCTCAACTCGTCTGCAATATCCTCTGCTTCCTCTGCTTTGACTTTTAATCACTGGTCTTTCTTTGCTTTGTTTGTTCTTTTTGTTTGTCCCTCGGGTGTATGAAGATGAATATTCAGGTTAGTCAGGTGTCAGACTCATCTTTACCTATAAAATCAAAGGGTTGCAGCATCTGACAAGTGGGCTATTTTGGGGTAATTTGATATCAATTGTTGCAATTTTATTATGGATAGGAAGTAAAAGTTATATTTTAAGAAAAAGAAAAAAAACCTACCTTACCTTAAACGTGCACCACAGCTATGAATCCTCACACAGCTACCACAGTCCTTTTCTCTGTCGGTGCTTATTGACGCTGACATCTGATGAAAATCATCATTATCTGGATGTCATAAACCAAAACACAGAACATCTTTATCATAATTAGCACGACTATATCTCTAAAAATGACAACAATAAAAATAAAATACTACAAGATTTGACAGAATTGCTTTTCCATCCGCCAAACCCGTCGCCGTTTGACTCAACCGTCTCTCCCGTATCGCTCTCTTCTAGGCGTGCTGTTCCTGCAGTACGGAGACGAGACGCGTCGCGTTCACATCACCCACGAGCTGAGCAGCCTGGACACGCTGCACGCTCTCATCGTGCACATGTTCCCCCAGAAGTTGACAGCAGGTATGCTGAAGTCACCCAACACGGCCATCCTGATAAAGGACGAGGCGCGCAACGTCTTCTACGAGCTGGAGGACGTCCGGGACATCCAGGACCGCAGCATCATCAAGATTTTCCGCAAAGAGCCCATCTACGCTTCCTACCCTGCTGCTGCACACCTGGCTAACGGAGACCTGAGGGTGAGGAGGGGGGAGCTGGGGGAGTGGGGAGGTGAAGAGGTCAAACAGGGTTATTTTAGAGAGAGACAAAGCTGTCTGATCCGACAACTGAGCTGCCCAGCGAGAACCGCTATAATGCTCTGCCTGCACATAAAGAGCGGCGGTGTGTTTCTCTGGCACGGTAATGGCGTATTTTATATTTCAATGGTAACTTTGACAGGCCGTTGTGTATGTGGGTTAGTCATTTAACAGGTATTCCTCCTGGAAATGTATTTCTTATCTTCAAGTAGGCCATCTGTTGCTGTGCAGACACCGGAGAACAATGTTCCTCTGTGAAATGAGCATATTTTAACATCCGAAGCTATTTCTGCTTCAGTGAAGATCAAGGAAGCCTGAGGGAGACCTTTTTTTTCTAATTATTTCATACAAAACCGTGCTTACCATCTGCATTATATTCACACAATACTGAGAATATAACCGCAATTAGCCATGCAAACAGGCAGCGTAAAACGATGCGTTTATGGTGTGTGCATGTGCTGTATGTTTTATGTGTTCGTGCATGTTTACGGTGTGTGTCTGAGGATACAAGAAAGGGAAAAGGAAAGAAAAGAGGTAGAGAGACAGCTGACCAGCACCATCTACATAATCTACATTTTAATACTCCCACAAACAGTTTAAAACCAGCAAATCTTAACGGCATGAATTTAAGCAACACATTTAATTTGGCAAAACTGAGAATCATCAGAGTTAATTATCATCATTTTACAGTAAGTGTGAGATGCACAGTCCATCTCTTCTTCATGACTGTTGGAGACTAAACGCAGGCTGCATCTTAACCAGCAGCTTGCCGTTCATTTGCTCCTGTGCACGTTGTGTCCGGTGTTGTCTTGTGGAGCAACTTTTATCTATTTGCCTGTTTAAGTTGTGTCCATAAAGTTTGGGCGAACCCCCTCATATGGCTTTGTAAATATATAGGATGTATTTGTACCTGAGCATAACAGCTCAGTGTCAGAAACTCCAAGCTCCGGTTTTTTCTGTGTATTACATGATGCCGCATGCTAGTTAGCTAGAAACACGGATGAGTTGAGCAAAAACGTTAGTTATGTGACGAAATCGCAACAAGATGAAAACAGATGCAGAGGAGGGTTGAAAAAGCATCAGTTTTTGTTTAAGGACGTTATGATGAAAGGCAGGTAATAGCTACGCCCACAAATATATATATATATATATATATATATATATTCAGTTGTTGAGTGTGAATGAATAGCTTTGTCTCTCTCACCACTCTGTTTCATAGAATAAAAACATGGATTTGAGATTGGACTCAATACCCGCTTGTAGTAATATAATGAGGCCTTCAAAAGACAAAGGAATTATTAATTTTCACCAAAATTAACTTTTTTTTAAATACAATTTTTTAATTATGGGAACCATCTGCTTGTTTTTCTTAGCGCATGCTGCCATGTTAAATATTTTACGTGAAGAGAACTCCTGACTATGATCTACGGGAGCTCAGGGAAGCGTTGGCAGCTCCTCGATAACCTAATTTAAAGTGAAAATCTATTTTCAAACATCATCGTAAACGGTGAATTCAAATTAATTGATGAAATCAAACTATTGACAATCAAATAGGAATGTGTGACCGACTGAACACTTTTAATTTTGTTCAGTAACAGTTCTCTTTGCTTCGGCGTTGATGTCATTTATTTAACAAAACAACAAGAAATACTTTTTTAGAGAATACGTTCTGCAGTTGGATTTATAATTGGTCTTCTGAGAAACTTCATCATCATCATGCGGCGACTCATCCGTACGTGTCCATGGTAACACTCATCCCTGCTCGTTTCAGAGGGAGATGGTGTACTCCTCTCGCGACTCCTCCCCAACCCACCGCATCAACACCCTCCCCTCCTCCACGGCCTCGGCATCCTCCGGCTCCCCGTCGCGCTCGCGCCTCTCCTACAGCGGCGGCGGCCGTCCTCCGTCCTTCACGGGGTCCCACTCCCAGCACGAGCAGCCCCGGCATGCCCACCATCCTCCGGCCGGCCACGGGGCCAACGCGGGCCTGTCTCCCTCGCCCAGCGCCATCCTGGAGCGCCGCGACGTCAAGCCTGACGAAGAAGTTTCTGCAAAAAATATGGCGCTGATGAAGAGCGAGGGGCTGTACGCAGATCCCTACAGCCTGATGCACGAGGGCCGCCTCAGCATCGCCTCCACCCAGTCGCTAGCTGCCATCGGAGACCCCTTTAGCTTCCCCGTTACCAGTGGCCTGTACCGCCGAGGCTCCGTGCGCTCCCTCAGCACCTACTCAGCCGCTGCTCTTCAAGGGGACCTGGAGGACTCCCTCTACAAGCCTGGAGGTTCGCTCTACTCTGACACGTACTCCTCGGCCACACTGGGAATGGGTTTTCGCATGCCGCCCTCATCCCCGCAGAAAATCCCTGACATGCAGATGAGGGACAGGGAGTCGTATTCCAGCTCACCCAGCAGAGCCTCACCTGTCAGGCAGAGCTTCCGCAAGGACTCGGCCTCCTCCTCCGTGTTTGTGGAGAGCCCAAAGTCGAGGCCCAGCTCCAGCTCAGAGCCTCTGTGTCTGACAGCCGGGCCTGGGGAGGGCGGCAGGGCCACGCCTGGCTTTGGTTCCTCGATGTCTGGACAGGACCCCGACAGCAGCAGGTCAGTACGAGTCTGTGTGGGGAATTTCATTAAGGTGTGTTGTACCGTTTAAAGACGGACCTCATCAGCTTCTGGGCGACATGAACACAATATCATCTGCTTAATGCGGGAAATGTTTCTTTATTTGTGTTTTCTCTGTTTGGTTCTCACCAGTTTCAAACCACACTCGATCCTAATTCGGAGGATCACGAATTTCAAATGTCTTGAATTATTATACTTTTGATGGATGTTTTCTCTTAAACTGTGATTGTGACTTACTTGATTACAATTTTAAACCAAGTTTACAGGTAATTTTAAAGCTGTATTGCTCACTCTACAGCGCTGTGTGTCGCACATCTACGTGTTCATCGGCCTTTGTGCCGTCAGTGTTTAGTGATCGATCTGTGACAATTACATTTGCAGGGATCATCGTCTGGAGCGCATGGAGGCAATGGAGAAGCAGATAGCCAGCCTTACTGGCCTGGTCCAGAGTGTGCTGACCAGAGCACCAGACAGTGACAGCACGTAAGACCCTCCATTATACCCCATGAACCCTCAAAAACTCACAGACACAGCTTCACTTCAGACACATGGGCGGCATTATCGACAGGAGCGGCAGCAGGCTATTATCAGAGCCATTACGTTGTGTGAGGACGGAGCACTAAACATTAGCTACAGGGCACAGTGCTATTGATTTATGCCTTGATACATAGAGATGTGAAACAAAGGTTTTCAGTAGGTTTTGAGTTTACACCTGGAACAGTGTTATCGTGGCACTCCGGCCTCACGAACACAATAGAGGGCCCGTGAACAAGAAGATAACTTGTTAGCGTCCAGTAGTGGTGCTGTTAGCGTTAGCACTGTAATTGCCTTGCCCTGTGGCCGTTGATCCCTTAGATGCGGCCTGCTGCGTCTCTGCATGATGGCGGGCTGCCCTCCGGACCAAGGGATGGAGTTCTCACGGCCATTACCTTTCTCTTCCAGCGAGAAGACCGAAACCAACAGTGACGGCTCCGCCACTGGAAGTGAGTACAGCAGCGGGATTGGGGCCTGTGTTCGCAAACCTGCCTTCTTGTTGCTCACTCCACTGATCATTTTTCTTTCATTTTACCTGAAAACAATGCACCGCAATTTAAAGGGGATGATGGACACAAACGAGCAGTGATGGGGACCTCCTGGTTTATAGGATTTATAGATCTATATGACTCTCTCACAATGGGAAGCTGGAAGCTGCAGTTAAGAATTGTGGAGTTGGTTATTTTAAGGGCGTGGTTTGGTTCATGTGGTCCAAACCAGGAGAAAACTATTCTGCATAGTTGCCTTGTAGTTCTGGTCCAGTTTGCATTCACACTGCCTTTTAACTGGGGAACTAATCGCTGTAAATATGAAGTTAAACAGACTGACCGGTAACTAATTGATTTGACTGATCAGATTCTGGTGAATTCCTTTCATATCATGCTAAAATCTCGTTAACCGCACCAGAGTTCGATTGGCAGCTTTCACACACCGGCCCAAATGAACCGAATTTAACATGCAAAAAACACCAGAGTTTGTTTTAACTGATTCAAACTGGTTTCCACCTCATACATCACTCCCTTCTGTTTTTCCTCTTTCACGTTTTTTTTTCTCCAGAAGAGTTTCATTCCAAAGGACTCATTCACCTTTTAAATAAGAGACGGCTGGTCAAATCCACTTTATAGACTTGTTCAAGTTAGAGGCCATCGAGACTTTAAAGCAACAGTCCGGTGCACTAGAGAGACACTTGAGAATTGTCCTCCTCAGTCGGATAAGTATTTAATGAATTTCACCATTATGGGGTAGTTTTTAGCTCACTAAGCGAAAATACAGGAAGCAGGGGGGAATGCTGGTGAGGCTCTGACGAACGTGAAAATATGAAACATAGAGGTGATAAGATTTGTGTTTAGAAGGTTTATTTCTCTTCTTACTATCTATGTGGTGGATGCATAGATAGTGAATTTAATGTTTATTTATCAAACTATCCGACTTTAATTTAAAAATATATATTTTTCAGCATAAAATATTTTAAATACTGATAGGAATTGTGTAGCTCATACATACTGAAGCATTTCAGAGACAGATATAATTCCTCTCATTCCTGCTTCTGTCCCGCGTAGTTAATGTTGTAGCAGTTTTGGCACAAACAAAGCTTTTTGAAGGCAGACCTTCACAGGTTCGGGGCAAGGACGCAGTAGTCTTTGAAGCGGCCTCACACGTTGATACACCGCCAACACACTCAGAGTCATTTTCTCTGGTGTAAGTCTGTAAAGATTCTCTCCAGGATCATCATTCTGTAAATATGAACTTTTAAGACTTTCCTCTGACTCTCTGTCAGCCTCTCATTCATTTCTCGGTAACCGGTTCACTCTTTCTATATTCCAGCTGGACGGCTGAAGCAGAAAGGTAGTTGCCATCTCCTCCTCTATCGCCCTTTTTTAATTTCTCCTCTCAGACATCTCTCATGGCTCTCTGCCCTCTGTATGGGTGTGTGGTGTAGCTGGGTAGCTGGCGGTGTCTATCCTCAAGTTTTCCTCCTGGCTGGTTTCCCAGAGAACAGATTCCCCCCCCCCCTCCTCCTCCTCCTCCTCCTCCTCCTCCCTCGCCCTGTCTCTGTCTCTACTTTTTGAATTTCTGCTTGGCTTTTCCTTTGGGAATTTCAAAAAAGTTGTAAATGTGTATGAGAGTGTGTGTGTGTGTGTGCGTGTGTTCAGGGGGCATACACAGAGTGTGTGTGTGTGTGTGTGTGTGTGTGTGTGTGTGTGTGTGTGTGTGTGTGTGAGAATAACTGAGGAGTCAATGGCCATACTCGCAAAGCCCTGTGTGAAGATAAGAGCATGGTTATCCCCCTGTGTGTCACTACTGAACAGACTAATTGCACTTCTATATGGCTTACTAATAGCATGAGCTCTCATTTCTCCCAGTGGGCTATGAGAGTTTTGTGAAAATGGTGCTTTTTTAGCATTCACACACTGTATTTGTTCCAGTGTGTGCCCAGATTTTCTATTGACGTACATTTCTTTGGGCCCGTATGCTGTGTGTGTGTTTGTGTGTGTGTGTGTGTGTGTGTGTGTGTGTGTTTGTTCTGTGTGTCGCACTGCGTGACTGAAAATCTCACGGGAGCACAGCCCAGCAAACTAATCAATTTGTTTCCCGACGACCTCCCGGTGACGCTCTGTGTCCCGCTCTGTGATTGGCAGCTCACACGCCGTCGGCTCCTCTGGCTCTGATGCCGCCGCCGCCTTCCAACACGACGCCGGTGAACAGCGCCGGGCGCCTGCAGATGCAGCTCCACCTGCACGGTCTGCAGCAGAACACCACCGACCTGCGCAAACAGCTCAGCCAGCTGCGCAAAATACAGGTACAAAGTATATCCAGAAAATCTGTTTTTTTAATGTTTCTTAAAGAGCCTGATCTCCCAAATAACAATAAATATTATTTACTATTGGTGGCATCTATCCATCAATATAGTTTTAGTTTCACTTCAAATATTTCTTTGATATTCTAGTTCATAATTTGTCTCCCTTTCCTTGTTGTTCGTTTATCTTTTGATATAGTTTTTATTCTGGTGAATCCTCATTCAATACAATCATTGTTTATTAGTCTGAGTCCCTCATACCTCACTGTTGACATGCAAGTCATGCAGAGTATAAGACCACATTAACACTTTCCATGTGGTTTGCTTTTGTTCCACAGTTGGTTAAATTAGTCCTCAATATTAGAATTCTTCTTTCTATGATGTCGAATGTATACTGTAAAGTATTTCAACACACATGTTGTGTACGCAGCATCGCTGGCTCTGATATTTATTTGATCTTCTCTTCAATACTACACCTACAGTAAATAACACCTGCAGGTTCACATAACTGTACTGCATGACACATCGAGGTCATTGTACCCTTTGAGGATTTATGATAAAATAGAACGAGTAGAAGATAAAAGCTCCGTTCACACGGCATGGTATTCTACAGAAATACAAAATGTCATGACCGATTCAGAATCCGATTAAATGTCACGAAGTTAACGGAAATGTGGCGACGCTGTCCTCATTTATTCCATCTATCTGTGATGCCGGCGATGCCATGGTTACAGCAGGAAGAGATGGCGAGTTAATCGCTCTCAGCGGCAGAGAAGAAGAGAAAGGAGACGTAACGGGAGTGACAGATGATGGCCACGCAGTGCTTTTACTTGTTCCCTGACAGCAGTCACACGAGCTTCTTGAAATGGCTCAGCAGTGAGAGAGAGAGGGACAAACAATGGAAGCGGTGCTTGTATCCACAGAGGACAGTTTTGCTGTGTACCTGTATGTGTACCACTACGTGTACCTGTATGTGTACGTGTACCTGTATGTGTACCTCTACGTGTACCTGTATGTGTACGTGTACCTCTACGTGTACCTGTATGTGTACCTCTACGTGTACCTGTATGTGTACCTCTACGTGTACCTGTATGTGTTACCTCTGCACCTGGACCTGTATAGATGCCCCATGGCGATGAATTTTACATGCTGCTCATGAATTATTCAGAGACGGTGTGCAGGAGAGACAGGCAACCGGGAGAGAGGGAGCTCAATGGATTTATTTTTCTGTATATATTAATTTTTTTTGAAAATATATTATCATACTCCCTGTGTTTGGCTTGTTTCCCCAGTTCCAGTTGGTGGAACTGGGGAGTACCGGGTCATTTTAAATGTTGGTGATATCGGTGTCCCGTCTAACCTCCTGGAACATAAGGCCGATCAATTATTCATTTTTCTTGCTTACCAGGTGTTTTTCATCGCAGGGAGTTGTATTACATGCAGTCGTCCTGTAGAATATTCCATTCAGAACACGGAGAGGGAGCTGAGTTCACGCTCACTGATTCTGTCCATAGACAGCCTTCGTTCTCCTCAGGGCAGCCCCGGCTTTCTGTGTTCGGAGAAACATTATAGGCTCTCTCACACACGCACACACACACACACACACACACACACACACACACACACACACACACACACGCCACAGAGGGAACTAAATGCTAGCAGTGCTTTTAAGCCTAAAGACTCACAAAGCAGTCTGATGCCAGGGTTGCTGGATGATACAAAAGCAGTCAGAGCAAAATGTTCTTGTGGCAGAGAAGGTTGCAGAGTAGAAACAAGAGGCCACAGCCTTCCCTCAGCTACAGTCACTGTACATCACTGAGGGCTGTTTTGAAAAGCCTCAGGCGACTACGATTCTCCTCTTCGTTGTCCCGTTATCATGCTGCGATGATAGCCGATTTCATTAAAGTATTCTCACGAGGCTAGCGAGGATAACATTGATAAAATAGTCTAAATAGTCGCAGAGTGAACGAAGAAAGAGCACTATGTAATCTCTAACATTGTGTTTGAATGTGTGTGCGCGCGTGTGCAGATGGAGAACCAAAATTCGGTGCGAACTCTGCTGAAGCGGACAGAAGCGGAGCTGAAAGTGCGCGTGGCCGACGCCCTGAGGAAGCAGGAGGACCCCCTGCAGAGACAGCGCCTCCTGGTGGAGGAGGAGAGACTCAAGTACCTCAACGAGGAGGAGCTCATCATCCAGCAGCTCCAGTCAGTGACAGGATGATAATGTCTTTAGCTTTCTTAATAAATAATAATTCAAACATTAGTTATCAAAAGAAACATATACGCGCTTGAATTGAGCAGAATATACACGTAAGTTGACAGTTTAAGAGTCTTATCACATATTTCATAATTGCTTCAAACGTGACAAAGTTCACATCTGTTTCGTAATTAGATGGCTCGCAGAGTGACGCCGCGATAGGATGAAATTGTAACTGTAATTAAGCCTGGCGTAGAGCAAGATGCTTATTAAGATCTGAGGTACGAGACGGTCCGCAACTATTTGAAGTGACTGCAAAACCAGAGTCGAGAGCTACCTTGAGATTTAATTATCAGATGACTTGCATCTGTCTCACATGTGGAAATGTTCTGCTGGTAATAAGTCCTGGGTCTCACTTCCTGGATCTCACTCTGAGTGGCGTTTTGATTGCGGACTAATTGGTTGAACTGTTAGTCAATCTCTGCTAATCAGTGTCGGTTATTCAGCCTGGCTAATGGCCAATTTATTGTTTGGTTAATTATACATGGAGCTTTCATCCATTACATAACTTAAGGCGGAATTATATGACTTGAGGCGGAGCAGAACAGACACACGCTCACACATCAGAGCTGAACAAACTCACGTTTGTACAGATTCTCTATTCTAAAAGTTTTGAGCACCCGTCCACACTCCTCCAGTTCAGCTGTCCAGAACTGTTGCTCTCCCTGCCAGTTGATGGACAGTTTATTGGCTTTACTGAAACTCCTAACGGCATAATCCTCAGATAGATATTCAGTAAAATCTTTAAGTGTAGCAGAGGAATCCCTGGTGTTCAGCCTTCTGTCTGTTCGATTTCAGCGACCTGGAGAAGTCAGTGGAGGAGATCCAGAAGGAGTCGTCTGTCAACCACAAGCTGGTGACGGTGCAGGAGCTGGAGGAGAAGGCCACTCTTCTGAGAAAGCTGGGAGAAACACTCACAGAGCTGAAAAGTGAGTCATGCTGGCACATTTCACGTTCTGTGCAAAACAGAAAACAGTCTTTTACTCAGACAGTTTATAAAGCGCTGATTATCTTTTAGTCACCCACAGCCAGCATGTCGAATAATTAATCAGTCTCAGATGGCTCATTGTCTTAATGAACTAGCTGACCATTTACAGCAGTTCAAACATGTTTCATTTGATTAACACAAAGGGCTTTTGACAAGTGGGGTTGACTTGTTTTTGGGGCGACGGTTGGTTTCATGTGTTACTTCTCTTCTTGCTCCTGCAGATCAGTTCCCAGGCCTGCAGAGTAAGATGCGGGTGGTGCTGAGGGTCGAGGTGGAGGCCGTCAAATTCCTGAAAGAAGAGCCGCACAGGCTCGATTCCCTTTTAAAACGCTGCAAGAGTATAACCGACACCCTCGCCACCATGCGCAAGTATGAACCTGCTCAGTACCTTCATGTGCCAGACTTAAAGAAGCTGAATGTAGAAACAATTCTTAAAAACTTTTCCATCTTTAAGTCAATGTGCGAACAGATTTTAAGTAATCCGATAAATACTGATGGAGGTGCTTTTGTGCGATGCATTCTCACATGGTGACACTTATAGTGAAATATGTCCGACATTAGCTGACACGAAAACGCACCCATTTATAATTTGCAGAAGGCTTTTCCATTTGTACCTCGGCCAAAGAGACGATGTTTTCACCCCTCTTTGTTTGTGAGTCAGCAGAACATTATGGATTTTCTAAAAACGTGGTGGACAGACGGGCCTCGGACCGAGGACAAATTGATTAGATATTGCTGTTGAATCGGATTAGATATTTCCGCCATTAAACATTTATTGTTTTCAGCCAAAGCTCTTAAAACTAGCAGAGACAGAGAGATGATTTACAGTCATAATGCACGTGTTAGTCCTGAAGGGTGCATTCAAGCATCGAGTATTAGAGTGACCACCTGACTTTATGGGTAACACCCTGATGAAGACTCTTTTCAGCCACATGAATAAATACCTTTAAAATGTGCCCTTCAGCATTCTGTCGTCTATGTCCTAATCAGCCGTGTGTCCAAAAAAGCACTGCACTTTCTGCTTTAATTAACCTCACTGATCAAAAGAGCTTCTCAAATTCATTTTTCTCTCATATTTGTGGATGAAAGAGAGAATTGGCACATGTTTTGAAAAAGAAATTTGGCATTCAGCAGCAATTGTTTTGACTTCAAGTCATGGATTATTCATGTTTCTGTTTGTGTTACATTTCAAAGAGTTGTTTAATGAATTCATCTTCCGTGTCTTACCAGACAAGCCAATGACGGGGTGTGGAAGAAGCAGGAGGACTTCTCTAGTCCTTCATCAAAGCACAACAATGACTTGCGAAAGTTTTCAGACTTCGACATCTCCACCAGCCCACAGCTCACCATCAATGATCTTGGGGGAGGCAACAGCCTGTCCAACTGGAGCCCCCACTCCAGCCTCAGCCGAGGCCACGGGTCCCTGTCCGGTCCTCACAAGGACAATCATCCTCCTGTTCCCCACAAGGGCAAAGCCCTGGAGGAGCTGGAACGCCGGGCTTTAGCTGACAAAGCTTTATCCGTGGAGGTCCGACTGGTAGGAATTATTTCTTCTGTTTTTCACCAGAGTCTACATTAAAAAAAATCACATCACAACACCAGTCCTGCAACATTGTCTGTGCGTTTATAAAGTGTTTAAATCAGTCTCTGCACTCCACAGGCAGCAGAGCGGGACTGGGAGGAGAAGCGAGCCAGTCTGACCCAGTACAGCGCCCAGGACATCAACCGGTTGCTGGAGGAGACCCAGGCCGAGTTATTGAAAGCTATTCCGGACCTGGACTTCGCCGCCAAGCAGATCAAGCCCTCCTCCAACACACCATCCTCCCAGATCCTCCAAAGCGGGGTAGGAACCCCAGACCACCGCGTCAGCAAGCCCCAGCACAAGCTGTCCGGGAAAGAGGGAGGATCCAGGCGTGGCTCTGGTGAGATGGAGAGTTCAGTCTGCATCATTATTACTCGACATTCAATATCGAGTAAAGCAGGTTTTACACACCACACGTATTATAATGCCTACAAATGCCTCACAGCTTGTTGTAAAATGTACGAGTCCTTTCTCAAGATGCCCGAAATACTTCTTTTTTTTTTGCAGATGAGCTGACAGTACCACGATATCGCACAGAGAAACCCTCCAAGTCTCCTCCTCCTCCTCCACCTCGACGCAGCTTCCCGTCTTCTCCAAGCATCACCAGCCGCAGCGGAGAGCCCCTCATTCCTGGAAAAAGTATAAAGGTAAGACGGAGAGAATTCACAAGCACACGGTTGTGAAATGTATGTGCATCACATGAAGAAAGGATTGTGCAAACAAATGTTTGTTGTTCGAGCTAAGCTATTGTTTTAGGAATAATTCTTGTGAGATCCAAACACTGTGTGCTTGTCTATAAAAAGTTGAAGCTGCAGGCTTGGGACTCTGGCTTCAGATATGTTCAAAGCCTTTTTCTTGTATTTGCAATTGTAGAAGTCTGAATCTGAGGAGGCCGAAAGCCAGAAGCTGCACGTAAAACTGAGGAGGACCGTGTCTGAAAACCCCCGTCCTGCATCTACACCCCCCACACTTGCCTCTGGGGACAAGGAGGAAGGAGAGGAGGAAAGAATTGCTGCCGAATTAGAGGTAAACTAAAACATGGGCTGTGTATTATGTTGACTGTAACCTCAATTGGTTGTTGTTTAATGACTTGGAAAACTGCGCTCTTTTTTATTATTTGTTACGTCCACAATCTGCCACTGGTTTCAAGCGCTCACACATACTCACAAGCAGACATGCTCACCATCGTTTACCACATGTTCAAGCAGCAGGTGCCATATGTCCTCCCTGCCCCTGGCACCGGGAGAGCCCAAAGATCACATACTGCTCAGTCACACACATCGTCACCCAGGGCCCACGGATCACAGACAGATGGACCCTGATGGCTGCTTGGACCGTGTTTGAGATGGCCTGCCTGAAATTTGATGGAGCACAGAGTCAACAAAACCAGATTTTGGTTATTCAGTGGCTGCTGTGTTTGTGTCCTACGATTTAATACCGCTTTCAAACCTCCCTCTTGCCTCCCCAGCTGTTTGAGAGAGCCCCACTCAGGCTCGCTCTCCCCCTTTCCCTCCCCCTCCCCCTGTCTGTTAGCCCTCGCAGCAGGAAAAGTGTACCCCCCTGCAGACCGGACCTGTGGCCCTCTGAGGCCCCAGGCACTGAGGTAAAACACTCTGGCTGACCCTGAGTGCTGTGGATTGCTGCCCTCTGTCAACCTTTTTTGTCCTTTTCACCCCTCGTCCACACACAGAAACCACCGGCCACGGCTCAGCCTCAAGCCACATCCACTCCTCCTATCTCTTCAAACTAAACAGAAAGTCTCACCTCAGCAGATACTGTTGCTCTTAATGTGTACTCATGCTGTGAATACATCAAAGCAAGGTTTTATTTCCACACAAGCCTGCCGTTTTGTAATTGCATTACGCGTCTCAAACGGTTGAGGAGAGACTGAATAACCATGTTTAACCAACCACCGTGTGTGATCATTTGCACACACACAACTTGAAGTTAAGTAGCATTAATCATTTTTGGTCATTTTGGGACATTAAAATATTAAAAGCCGACTGATATACATTCATCAGCTTATAAAGTTGTCAGGTTAGCAGACGGCTGCATACTTACACATCCAGCAGGCGAGGAGCAACATTTGCATTAATTTGAGGGCTAACTTCCTCACCACCTCATGACTTAGATTATTACACGTGACTTGATCTTCCCTAACACCTGAAGTATCTTAAATGTGCTTAACTGGAAATATATCTGCTTGTGTTTCTGCTACAGGAAGCTAAAAAGTTCAGCTTAAATAGTTACTGTGGATAGAAAACTTGGGTGGGGATTTTTCTGTGATTTTGGCATCTTTTTAAAGTTTAACATCTTTCTTTATTTTATTTAATGTGGAAATGACGAATATTGATTAATGCAGGTTTAACTTTGCATAGAATATAAAGAACCACAGTGTTATTAAGTTATCAAGAGCACTTTGGACACAAACTTGTATACACATTGAGTTCCTTTGTATGATGTCAATGCCTTTCACAACCACATGAGGGACGCTGTGTGTTGTGTGTGTGTTTTTCTGCAGTGGGTTTACAGTGGATCTTGTGGTGTTTTTTGTGTTAGACCAGCAGTGGAAACTTACTGGACTGCTCCACACTTAAAAGAGAGAGCTGCATTTTTTATTGTACATTTTCATATTTTTATTTTAAATTATGTCTTTATGCTTTTGCACTGTGTTTACTATTATGCACCAATCGCCAATTCCTTGCATGTGCAAACATACTTGGAAACCGTTTCTGATTCTGATTCACAGGCAGCACATCAGAAGCAACAGTAGGAGCCCACACATGTTAAACTGATGCTTATGTTCACAGGACGTTATCGAGACAAACATTACATACCAGCTGCTAAAATCGCTCCCTCTTCTATCTTTTGGTTGTCTGAGTTTGCAGTGATCTCACGCAGCAAGTTGTTGGATTGTACTGCAGCTAAGTCCAGTTCAGTGTGTTTAAATGTAAACCTCAAGTGCTTTCCTCATTTGTAGGGAAGCCGCTTGTCTCCCGTCCCCAACGTCGTGTTGACAGAGTGTTTGCCAGCGTCGCCCACTGCCTCAGAGGATCCTGTCAGAGATACAGCAAATGAGCCTGTAGACGAGAGTCCATCACGAGATTGGACCGCTCATCACACCGCCTACCAGACTAGATTTTCAAAAGAAAGGGATTCCTCTGGAAGCCCTCCTCAGCGAGAGCGCTGTTTTAAGGAGGAAGTGGAGTTAAAACTGGAAGTTGTCCTGCTCTTGACAGAGCTGGAGGTCAGGGTGGTGTCTCCCGTTGAGGTCCAGGAGCTCAGCATGACTTTAGGACAAGCTCTGCAGACCCTGATTATCTCACCGCACACTAATGAAGTCCCTGAGGTCCAGCTGAGAGGCCGGCCTCTCCTCGTGCTCCTCAGAGAGGGGAAAACAGTCAGGGATGCCTACAGGCTGCTGCATTGCCTTTTGGACTCATCCAAGCCGGTGCCCAAACCCAGAATGAAATCCCCCCTCCGCTCGGGCCAGCAGAGCTCTCTGGTGGAGGCTCTGAGGAGAGGGATGGAGACGGGGGATAGAGTGCTGACACTTCACCACAACGCCGAAATCAAAATTCCTGAGGCGCAGCAGAAATCGGCAAACGTGAAGTCCAGTGGGTCAGATCTCTCTGTGGACAGTCCATCCAACCGGAGCCAGAGGAAAGTGAGAGATGACATCCGGTGCAGCGCCTACAGGCGGATGGACAGCTTGGAGGAAACTATCCGTGAGCTGGAGAACACCTTGATAGAGATCAGTGGCCATCCAACTGCAGAGCAGCTCTACACCGAGACGGCCGCAGAAAGCACTCCCGTACAGGTGACGGGTGGTCCGACCTCGGAGACCAAGAAGCCACCGGTTCCACCCAAGCCGTCCTCTTTCAGCCCGGCATCGATCCAGGTTCATTGCTTTCGCCTGCTGTGCAGATTCCTGCTCTGAAGCAGCATGCTCTGTCTTCTGTCTTCGCTGCTTCTCTCTGGGTGTCTGTTGGAACTTGACTTTCTATCTTCTGATGTCTGCTCCCTGACAAAATCGGCATTTAATTTTGTGAAATCGAAAATATGTGATAGGGGACAGACAACAGACTTCCTCTGTACTTGTCTGCTCTGCGATCAGTGCTGGAGATGCTTTCCTGCTGAGCCCAGAGCTGTTCATTGTTTCTCTATCGATCTGTCCTGACATCTGTTTTCTGTCTGTAAAGAATCAAGCCACCTTTTGTGACACCAAAATAAGACGAATGCATAGATAATACAAGTATCTTAATTTTGTTCTCTTTTTTTCCTCCTCTCTACATGTTCACTCGATCTTCTCATCTTTGTTTTGTCTTGTTATCGAGTCTCAGAAATGGTTTTAAACATAATAATGTTCAAGGTACATCAGCAGTATTTAAACAAGCTTAAATGTATATTTATGTATTGCGTCACATTATACACACCAAAGGTTACATAGTGAATTTGTGTTTCCAGAACAAAGAGTAACTTAACTATGAATCTTACTACCCAGGAACCTGTATGAAGACAGAACACCGGAGCCAAATATCACTTCTAATGCACCTCTCGTTAATATCTAATGACCACGTGTTGCCTTCTTTCGATTCGCTTCCAGTTGAGCGTAGCACAACAAAAGATTCGCGATAATCAAAAGACTTGTGTGAGCTGCCACATAGCGGCGAGGTGTGTTGACAGTAGTATTCCCTGTTGCTGTGAACGCCTCCCACTCAGGGCAGGGATGCGATAATTGACAGTCGCACTGTCACGGCGAGTTCCAGCCCTTCTGATGTGGAGACGGGGAGCGTTCCCGTAGGCACGGCTGAGCATTACAGTGTCTTCACACATTATTTCATCACTCCAACTTCACCCGCCTTCAACATTTCAACACTCTTCCTACTCTTGTCCGACGTTTACTAACCAAATTCCCGCTGACAAGTGATCCCCTCTCAAGCCCCATTACGGTTGAGTTTTTAATCAGCACTTTAAATAAAACATGGGAGATGCTGAATATTTTATGTCCGCATTTCAAAATTCAACAGGAGAAAAGGCTCAGAAGGAAGACAGCCAGCTCTCTTTGTCTTTAACTACCGTGGCAGAGACAGATCGGCTATCTGATGCCACTACACTTCTTCTTTTATTAGTTTTTCTTTCAGCTAATGTCTCTGTGTGCAGAAGAGGCACAGTAGGGGTGGGGATTCGACTGAATGTGTGTTTGTTTTTGTGCGTATTGGAGAGCAACTCAGCGGGAAAGATCATTTAGCGCGCTGCCTCGTGGATCCTGCGGTGAGGCCCGGGCTACGCAACGTCAGTTTTGATGCTGCGTTTCTATATTCTCGTCTTTGTCATTTTCTTCTCATGGATGGTGAAACTCTGTGAAGCGGATTGTTCAGTCGCATCGGCTACAAGCTCTGATCTAAAAAACCTCGTTGGTCACAGGGGAGAGGCTCGCTTGCTGGAATCAAACACTGTACGGAGCTGATGTGTGTCTGATGTGTGCGTGATGCGTAAACTAAAGGCGCTGAAGAGGAGAAGTGAAATGTATGAATATGTACTGTGTGGCCAAGGTCTGATTCACATGCCTCTCCTCTCATTTCAGGGGGGGAATAGTTCAAGCGTTAAGCTCCTCCACTCCTCAGCTGCCTCCAAACTGAAGCACCTGCAGCAGAACAGCACAGACAAGACTAAAAGTGGCAGGAGAGAGGACTTCCTGAAGATCCAGGGCCAGCACCAGGTATTTCCCTTATATTTAGCTCCGTCGAGGCCAAAGCACGCTTGATCCAGCAGCGCGTCAGCAGACTGACACGGTATCTTTCAGACACACTCGGTATCGGTCGCCTTATGAGGCGGTGGCAGCCGAGGCCGTAACCGTTTTTCAGGAATTTTTAAAGAAGTCTTGCACAGAAGATCATACGAGTGAAGATGATGAAAAATAGCGTTTTGCTTTTGCCCTCTATCTGAAACTGGGGCAAAGAGAGGAAATGATCCGTGCCTGCTATAAATCAAGATAGATGGGAGAGAGAGGTTGTTTTTTTACATATACTAGCAAATTCGGTGACCTTGTTCTTGATATAGAAACATGCTTTGTTGTAAAGGTGGTGGCACCTTCACACACCTTCAGGTCTCCTGAAAAGCCATGCAAGCCCGTCTGTCTGTTGCACACCAGATCAAGCATGCATTGGCCTTCACCATCACGCTCCACCTCCACTCAGTCCTCCTCTTGCTCCACACAACTACTTCACGTTCCCACAATGCTCCACTAAGAGCTGACGTTTCACATCATGTGTAATATTTAATATATCTGCTTTCTCGTGAACGCATCATCTCATAAACGCTGACAGGGAATTTCTCCAGATTTGGCACAAACGTCCACATGGACTCAAGGTTTCTGGCCATAACCTGGGAACTCATATGCTAATTATGACAATTTCACACAGAGGTCGTGCAGGATAAAATGATAAAGTGACAGTTTGGACAGACATGGATGTAAACTGAGACGGGCGTTATTTCTAGCCATTTTTGAAAGACTATGGCGATGAATATTTAAATTTAAAACCAGTTTAGCTGAAGGTCGTTAATTCTTTGATGGCACAGTCTCATTGTTGTGACAGTCTCATTATCAGAGTTTGTGGAAATAGATCAAAGAGTCCTCTGCAGGATTTCTGTCCCACAGAGAGACACGACGTGTGTCAGACAGGTGACACTGGTGAAGGATACGCGCTTCAATTAAATACACTTTTCATCTCTGGAAATCTTAAACCCTCTCTAATTATAGTATCTACAGCAATTAAAACAAGTTGTAACATAAAACACCTCTACTTAGCATTGTGCATCATCATGACAGACCTGTTTAAGTCGTGGATTCTGTTCATTCGGTCTAGAAATCAGCCCGGTCACCTTCAAAAATGCTGAGTTGAAGTCCGGAGCCTATTATATTTAATTATAACGGGCACTAGAAATGTTAAACGACTGAAGTTTAATATCAGGAGAACTTGAAAACTCCCTGATGAAGCCTCTTTCTATACATGCGTTGTTGTACATTTGCCTGATAGCTGGCTCAACACATTTTTTTGATTCGTTTTAATTCGCCAGCATCTCGGTCGTAATAAATAAGGTGAAGGGCTGGACATAAAGACGCTTGATGGCCTCCGAAGGCGAGGAAATTGAACTATTGAAGCATGTCGGTCCACTATAGCCAAAAGAAGATTTTTGCACCACGCCTGTGCACTGGGGGGAAAAAGCTTAATGTCAGTGTAATTTGAAAAATAACAGGAGCGGTGGAGTGAACCTAAACCTCCATACCCCACTGAATTTGACAGAGCATTCAGACTCAAATTCAGTCTTGGAGATTGCAGAGAAATGAACGCGTTAGGCGGAGAGGGAGAGATTGGAGAGATGGGAACGTAATGAAGCTTTGGTCTCCTCAGACTGAGAGAAGATTGGGAGGAATCTCTGCACTGCCGTGCAATAATCGCCCCTTGAGTCACTGGCAATCACTGATTATTCAATATGAAGAGGACAGCTCTCTCTTTTCCCCACCATTAAGCCCTTCATGTTTCCTCTCCTTTATGTCTCTTTCCGTCTTCCATTTTCTTTACTCTGCATCGCTGCCCGTGTCTCCTCTTCACTGTTCCCCCGTCAGTCGCTCTCATTCCCTGTGACTTGAACGTAGAGTGGATTCCTACACTTGTCTAATGAAAGCAAAATTACTCCCTATGTTTCATAATGACACTCGTTGCTGTATGCGTGAAAAGCGCCGTGCTCAAAGGGACAGTGGGCACTCAAAGCTAATTGTCAGCGTGGGAAGTCGGTACCGAGCCGCTTAGTTTAGCCGTTTAATGACGGAAAGAAACAAAGAACCAGCTGACTCAAAAAAACAAACACAAGAGAGTAAACAGTCAGCTGTGGCAGCGCTCACAATAACTGCATTTTGTGGCATTTTGAAGTACGAGGTGCAGCGAGAAGTTGAGAGGTCAAGTAGTCCACTGTTAGTGCACCAGTAGGAGGTTTGGAGAGCACAGACCATTCGTTAGGAAAGAGGAGGACTCAAAGAGGAGGACTCAAAGAGGACTCAAAGAGGAGGACTCGTTTCTAGAATCTACTGCAGACGCACAATTCGACATTGTCAAATAATTGATATTAAATAAAAGTGTAACAGAGAAATTGGCTTGTTTTTAAAAGGACATCTTGAAATTGTTAAAATGAACGATGAAATGACGTCACATAATAATGAGTTCAGTTTAACTTATATCTTGAATTATGTAACTAATTATTTTCTTAATAATATATTTCACATATATTTTCATGGTTATTTCATAATAACTTTATTCATTTATTATTGAACTCTTTGGGGTTCAAATATACTTGAAGTGTGACCTCTGTTGAGCGTGCCGTGTACTGTCGCATGAGAGCGGTTGAAAAGGCCAACACAAATATTTCAGCACTCTATTCAAACCTTAATGAAGCACGATGCCGAGAATCTAGCGTCGTGTTTTTTCGTTTCCACGAGCTGTTGCTTTGGAAATCGCTCCCGTCTTTAATGTCAGACCAAGAAAACAGCGCAGATCCTTCCTGACTATTGAGCTCACAGACAGAAAACAGCTAAATATGTCTCATAAATCATTTAAAATTCAGTATGATGAAACAGCTGAGCATGGACCATGCTGGAGAAAGCCCCACTGATTATCATCTCTTCATCTCATTTGTATTCAGCTTTAAACAGCTAATTAAGAATGTTTTGCCGAATGTTCACTTCACCTGGTGTGTTTTTTAACCCGTCACTGACATTGTGCTCGTGATCTCTTTGAAGAGAAACTCTAATTATGGCAAAAAACCTAAAATATCAGCATTCTTCATTCTTTTTCAAGCCGGTTATTGTTCCAGAATAAATTTGTTCCGAATGTGTCAAAACAGCCACAGTCACCGTCACGTGTCGTTCAAGGATCCACATATTTATGCCTTATTGTTGAGCTGTAATCTATAAACTATCCACCTCAGTGCTTCCCCTCGCCCTCATTTCTCCTCCAAACTCACACCTGCTGAACACACTTGTGACTGAATCTGTTGTTCTGACAATCAGACGTGGGTGACCTCTCCGCTCGCCCCACAGATGAAGGTAATGGTGTCTCTTCTCTTAAACCTTTCCCGGACATAATTCCCTCAATGTGACCCCAAAACATTCACCCAACATTGTTCCCATCTGTGTTTTCTCTTTTGTTTCCTCTGGTCACATGATCACTGACATTTCTAGGGCATTTTGAACCACTTCAGGCTCTCTCTGTGGTCCTTATTCCCAGCTCATAGATCTAAATGTATAAACACCTTCAGCATCAGTGGCTTTATCAACACGATGACGGAGACATTTCCTAGCAGTTCCGATGAAAGGCAGCCGGTGCACATTAACATGTGATGAAAGCCAGCTGGAGGAACAGTTAAACATTTTAAGACATCACTGTGTACCATCTGCAATCAGCCAAAACAAGATGCACTGGCACCATTTTGGAGTTTAATGTGTGTCCTGCGTTTAGCAATGCCAATTCCGAATTACGTTTTTTTTTCCCTCATCAAGATATGTGGACTGAATGAACATAGTGCCATTCATTTTATGGTAATTTGGGATTTTGGCATAGCAGCTTTAGCTTTAGCACCAGGGGTGGCCAATCAGATTCCAGGGGTTAAGCCTTGTCACACTAGTTTACTTTATCATCAGAGACAAAAAGCAGCATTAAAGGGATAGTTTGGATGTTTTGAAGTGAGATTGTATGAGGTACTTATTCATAGTCAGTGTATTATTTACAGTAGATTCGGAGATACCGACAAGAGTAGCAGCACAGGAGCAAAGCAATGTCCTGCTGTGGACGGGGGGGTAGCAGCAAAATGTGTTTTAGCCTCCTAAAAACAATAAACTACGTTTTGCTGCTGCCTCCGTCCACAGCGGTACATGTCTTTACTCCTGTGCTGGTACTCCTGTCTGTTTGGGCGCGTGTTGATTGCCAACTACTGTGAATAATACGCTGACTATGGATAAGTACCTCATACACCACTTCAAAACATCCCAACTGGCCCTCTAATGCTGAAGTCTTTTGTCAGTTCATGCTCCGATGCTATCTGTGTGTGTGTGTGTGTTAATTGCGGGAGTTTAAATTAACAGAGCCTCTGTGGTGGTGCTCAGGCTGCCTGCTCGCTAAAGCTTTACTCAGATATGTAACCCATCAATCCAGGCATGAGGATCCTTCAAATCAATGTGCTGAACAACAGACAGTTCAAAGACACAATTCCTCCCCGTTTGCTTTGGCACAGATCAAGGTGGGCACGACAGTGTGAGTCACTTTCACGCCACGAAACCACTATTTCCATTTCCCGTTTGACCCTCTCATTACTGCTGGCGGTGAAACAGGCCAGTTAAATGTGCTGGCCGTGAGGCCGGGGGTTTTGTGAAGACCTATCCTGGGAGGCTGTGGTTTGGCAGGCAGCTCCGGTGTGAGTGAGATGAAGAGCGGCCACTCTGCTGCACTCACAGACCAGAAATAAATGTGTCGGCCAGGCTTGAGAGGAGTTCCTCAAGCAGAAGGAACAGTCCCGCTCTCTGGGGACGGTTGGCAGCACAGGCCTCTGGAACTGCTACAGAGCAGGTGAAAGCCTCCCAGCGGTGGCCGTCTAGACCGGCACACCTGCTCTCCTTTCATACAGAACTAAACCCCATAGTCCCTAAACAAACGCCTTTTTAAAACTTTTGCAGCCACTGCAAAAACTCTCCTGTCGCTTCTTATGAAAAGCTCAAATAAAAACTTCCCTAAAGTGTAAAATACTTAATAATAAAAAGCTAAGTTTGGCTCTTTCTCGCTCTTATCTCAACACTCTGGTGTATTTTACTTCATCTGACCCCTGCAGATAAAACCTACAAACTGTTTTTGACAGATGCATTCACCTGAACTCCACCTGCAAAAGAGAGACAAATACATGCTGTGTGAAATGTGTTCCCCACCAGTTTCATCCTGCTGGAACAGTGCCACCTAGTGGCTCGTTCCAGCATTACATGAAGGGACTGTGATGCTGCCCGTCGGTCCGAATATTTTGCATTTTTTTTTTAATGAGTAAAAGTCATTAAAACGTGTCAAAATAAAAGTTGGTCAACACCAGTGTGATCTACATTGTCACGTAGTGTTGCACCGCATCACAAACGGTGTGTTTATCAGTGGTCTGGTCATCATGTGTGGAAGGCAGCCGGTCTCACGGCCTGCACCACACATGCTGATATCAACCTGAATAACGATCTCCTGTGTTTGTCTCTTGTTCTGTTCCCCCCCCCCCCCCCCCCACCCCTCCACTACCCGTTTCTTCCGGCATTCGTTCCTGTGATCAACCTCACCCACCCCGTGTGAACCCGTGCCGCCCTGCAACCCCCCCACCCCACCCCACCCCCCCACCCCACCCCACCGTCCTGCCCTGCTACTGTGACCCTGCAGCAGTGAGCGACCTGTCCGTGTCCAGCCTCTTTAGCGTCCTTCTCCTCCTGTCCGCCTGAGAGAGCGACACACATCCATCTGCCCCCCCCCCCCCCCACCCTTTTTTTTTTACTTTGATCAGCTTCTTTCACATCTCCAGTGTTTACTCCAAAGTCTACACTGAACCCCAGCCTGTATGCATGTGTGCGTGTGTGCGTGCGCGTGTGTGTGTGTGTGCAAGCAGGCATGCACGGGCATGTTTGACGGTGATGGTAAGGGAAAGTGCTGCGGGGGGGGGGGAGGACAGTGCCCAGCCAATTTGAAGACTTAAATTTTTCATGGTTTTCCCTTTGATCCCTGAAAACCTCCACCCCCCCTTCCTCCCCCTCTTCTGTGTCCCCGCTCTATCTGAAGGCCTTGGGGAGCAACAGCAGCATTGAGCCATACCTCTCTGGTATCAAAACGGGACTTCTCTCAGGCCGAGTGACCTCACCTGCAGCAGCGTTCGCCCCCGGCCTGAGGAAGTACCCCCAGGAGGGAGCGAAGCCCTCCCTCACACCCTCCTCCAGCCAAGCGAAGGCCCTGCTGGTGAGCCTGTCAGCCTCCGGTCTGAGCGCCGAGGCCCTGCTCCTCTCCTCCACCCTCCGCCATCGCCGCCTTCTACGTGAGCAGCAGCGAGCCTCCTCCTTGCCCCTGCCCCGCAGCCGGTCCTCCCCCACTACTCCCACTGCTTCCTCCCCCTCATCTTCCTCTTCACCCACCACCCCGACTCCTTCCCTGTCTCCCTCCTCTCCCACATCTTGGGGTTCCCTCGCCCTCTCCCCTGCTGCGGCTCCCAAACCCAGCAGTTGTAGCTCCAGCCTCAACAGCTGCAAGGAGGGTGGCGGCGAGCATGTGAATACGGACCTCGCCTCTGGCAACTCTCGGTAATGAAGAGGAGGAGGAGGAGGAGGAGGACGACATGGGAGACTTCAAACACCATCACATCATGAACCATAAAGAGAAAACAACTGCATTATGGGAAATTCCAGCGTTGTTTGGTGTCCTATTTTCTTTCAGGACTTTTTTGTCTTCTTTATTTCTCCTCTCTCTACTTTTGGCCTCTCTCCAGTATGTTTTCATATTTTCATGGCAAGAACAACCGCACTGTAAACGGAGTCACGAGTTTCCTGCTCTGATCCGGGTCCTCTGCAGCTCTCCCACGCCGTCGTACTGCCAGTTTGCCAGATAGTGAGTGCACAAACGGGGCTCCCCCTCCTACCAGCTGCCTGCTGCAAGCTGATGTGGTCTGGATGGATTTACGGGCAGTAGCAGTCTCATATAGACCCTCACTCACTGGGGTTCTTAGTGGAGTAGACATCATTTCTAGACTGTGACTTTTATCATAGAAAATAGAGCTGCAATAATCACCAAGTGAGTCCAGTAGTTGTGTGTGTTCAGGATAATATTGCTCTCACTTACCCGCATCACCTGGCAGAATGTGCTCAGAAAAAAACTAAAAAAAACCTAAAGTAGATCAAGGTGATGATTGTGGTTTCACACTGTTTTGTGTTAAAAGGGCATTTGTGGCTTTTCTGGCATCGCCTGTGTTTTGAACTCTGAACTGGTGCTATATTTTCCCCTCCGTCTGTACACACTGTGTAAAGAGTTTACATGATTGTCCTCACTCCCCAGACTTTGACCTGCGCTTTGTTTAACGTGTACATTCCACCGTCTGACTTTGATTTCTCGACGCGCTGTTTGAATATTTATATGCCTCCCTACAGAATGAAGTCCTTGCATCGAAGACGACGAACGATTATGAGGAAATGTTCGACTTAAAAGTGTATTCACAAAAGCACATTGTAGGGAGCAGTGTTATAACAGCACATTTCTATTTATAATGGAAGCAGGAGGCACAGAAACAGGAGGGAAGAATGCGAGCGGTGAATTGTATAGACGTGTTGAATTTCTCTATATGTGTATTAACTAGTTAATTATGACAATCAGGATGTTTCCGCAGTAGCGTCTAACAGGTTGCTCTGACGTTTTAAGCACCTGACATCACAAACCTTCCCAAAGACTCGAGCACACACACACACACACACACACACAAAATCTATCACACATTCTGCACAGGCTCGACTAGTTTTTTTGTTTTTTTGTTTCAGCAAATGTGTGATTTTGAAGTGTGTTGCCCCGCTGATAGAAATAGAGCACTCTGGTAGAAACGTGCCACGTCCACCGCTGGTCTACAGAGCGACGGATCAAGTGGTTTCTTTTGAACTTCAAGGTTAGTCTGATGGGAAGCAGCTTCCAAAGTATTTAGCAATTTGCAGGTCTTATTGTAAAACATAAAACCTTATTTGAACAAGAACAAATATATATATATATATATATCTTTCACTGCAGTGAACTGATTGCACTTCTACGGCACTGTTTCAACCCTGTTGCATCGTTTGAAAGAGGAAGAAAAGTTAATCAGCACATATTCAGACACAGCTTGACTCTTGAAGGGCCTGAGATGAGAATATGGAAATATAAAAAGTAAGCACAGTTTCCTCACAAAGACTTGACCCTTCCCCCTAATCTTGATCTTGTGAATCTGCCTAAATTTGATGAGCACAAAGCTACAAAAACACCCCTCCATATTTAAAATCTGTACGTTATATCCCCAACATTGCTGTTGCCTCATTTGGTTTTATTACCTGCATGTTGAAACTAATGAATGTGAGGCCTTTGGTGTGCATCGATGACGGGAGTTGTCACTATTTATAGCACATCAGAGGCCCGTCAGTGATTCCCTAAGTGTAAACCCGACACAAGGAACCATTTTGAAGCTCCCTGTCCTGTGTTATTGCCTTAAGGCTGCCCACTGGGGAGGTGATGAGGTTGAACGGACGGTCATAGAATGACTGTGAAATGTGAAATGGATTCTTCGTGGCATTGAGATTAAAACATGTGCAAAAGGGGATTGTGTCAAAGAGGAGGCAGCTTGAGGAGAGGGGATTAGTTTGGGGACATGTGTTTGAAGGCTCCTTTAATAAGGCCGGCTTTGACTTGCCCCGTCTCCATCGAGAGTGCTTGTGATATAAAAGACCCGAAGAGATGAGAGGAAGGGTCTGACAGTCTGAGTGCCGTTAAGCGGCTGTTCTTTCCCTGCCCCTCTCACTTTGCTTTGTCTTTGGTGTGAGGAGCATGTGAGATAAAGAAAGTCAGTTGAGGTTATCCTAGGACAAAGTTTAACAGGCCTCAATATGAACAGTAACAGTGTGCAATATGTAATTAGCACTATCACACATTTTGCAAACGCAGTGCTCTTTGCCTTTGTGGTACTCCGGCCTGTTTGTCTGCAAGGACCTGCAGCCATGTTTGTTTTTATCCCAGTGCCTCAAAGACTTTGTTTCTGTGAGGAATCCCCGGTTGATCTCTGTGTTACAGTATTAGATCAGCAGCAGTGACAGAAGAACACTTTTACCCAAAGAAAGAGGCTACGCCAATTGGCTTGTTCCTATTTTTCGCAGAAAAAAATTCAAAAAAACTTGAAAGACAGTCAGTGTGTGTGTCCGGCTGCAGCGGTGACGTTTGACCGAACACTCCCGGAGCTCGAACAATGTGCAAACCTGCGAGCTCGCAAGCGCAGCGATTTGAAGCCGCGCCCCCGGGTGCTCTGTGGCTCCGCCAGGCAGGTTCAAGCCCCGGGTTTCATATTGAGTGAAGTCAAATGAAAGAAATTCACTTACTCATGCTGTTTCACACTCAAATCCATAAAACTCTCCCGAGTTAAATTTGCTGCATTTGCATCTGGTGAGCGTTGGGGAGGAAGTGTTCACGCTTGGCTGCTTTCCCCGAGTAAAGCGTGAGATGAAACCTCCCGGAGTCGCGTGACCGCGTGCTCTGGATTGATTAGTGTTGGTGGGCTGTGGTTCCAACATGGCCGGAGGCCCCGGGGGCGATCAGAAACGCTCATGCACACTTGAAACGAAACATAGAAGTATACATATATAAATATATCTAAGTGAGATGTTTGTGTATGATATTATAACTGTGAAGAAAAGTGTGATATATATATAGGCCTAGATTAAATTATATACTGTAAAATGTCATCATCTCTTCAGTTTTATATATTAGTCACCATTTTGTACAGATGTTTTCTTTTTTAATTCATTCAGAGAGATATTACATTTCACACTGAGATTATTTATTCATACGCAGAACATTTTTATATTTGTTTAAAAGCATCTGTATAGATAACAGTTAGCCTCTGTAATATACGCTGAAGTTCATTTTTAAATTCTAGGGTTTTCTTTACGAACGCCGAGTTAGATTTTATGTAAGTTAGGTTCTTTTGAAAAGCTTGTCCCTGAAATTGCTCGTTCAGCTCTTCTGCACCTTTGCCTCCTTATGTGAAGGGTCACTATTGAGGTGTGAGGGGCTGGACCAGTGCCTGTGCTTAGGGGCTTATTTTGCTACTGTCTTTTTGATTTGGGGGGTTGTTTTCTGTACCTGTGGTCTTGTGTTTTTTTTTTGGGTTCCGCCCCCATCCTGTGTTTGTGGTTCAGCTGGTTGAGTTGGAGACGTTCAGAGACACAGATGTTGTGGTAACTACAGTGAAAGGTGAGTTTATAGACCCTAAAGGCTTCACATGGAGCCTTGCTGCTTTGACCAGAAGTACGTTACATGGCTTTAATTGTCCTCCTCCTGTGTCATGTTTGCATGTGAACAGGAGCGGTGTGAATGTGGATGTGGATGCTCCGTGCAAAACAAAACATTCAGAGACAACCGGCTCTTCATCGTTACAACCGGTGGAAGAACATTTAGTTGCACTGAGTGGCTTTAAGTCGCAGTTAAGCTAAACCGCAGAAGTTGTTAGAACCACCAAGACGGACCAATGAGGGAATCACGTGTTGAGTTGTGTGAATTCAAAGTTGTATCTCTTCCTTTGCCTTTTTATTTTTCAGTAACAAACCTACATTCTGTAGTATGTATATGAGATTTTTACATGAATGTGTGGATGTTCAAAAACCTTGGCATCAAAAAGTAGAAAAACTAAATTGACTTGTAAATAGGCCGAGTCATTCCTAGCGAGTTCAACGAATTATTTCCAAAAGAAGATGTTTTATTAATAAACTATGACGATGGGTACAAAGGTATATACAAAACAATGCATGTATAGTCTCCAGCAATCGCACGGTGCAGTCGAGAAAAAAAAAAAAAAAAAGTCGTCTACGTGTTTTCTCAAAAAAAAAATGAAGAGAAAAGCGGTTCTACGTTCGGGGGTTTTACAAACATGAAGAATGAGATATTATTTTGATATCTGTGACGCGGGCATGTTCAGTCTTACTGTGATGTCATGTGACGATGAGGATGACGAGGGTGGCCCAGAGTGTTGGATGTCGTGAGGGATTCTTGAACGCTTGAACGCACCCCAACCAGAGACGACGGTGTGCTCTTTCCACAGAGTGATTCTCCCATGTGTAGAGTAGTGTGATATAAGAACAAAAATAATACAGAAAATAGATCTATAATATAATGACATATAAATTCAAAAGCCTACTGGTACTGGAGATATTAATTTATCAGTGTGGATGCCATGATATTCTGTGAGAAATGTGTGTGTTTTTCCCGTGAGAAGACGGTTGGCAGTTGAACCTGCCTTCTTTTGTACATACTTTGCTGTGATTGTGTGTCCAATAAAGTGCAGCTCTCTTGTACAGTGGCGGCGTCTGATCTTGATTTATAAAGACCTGTTCATGTTGTCAGGGAATGAGTGTTGGGTTTTGTTTTAGCAACAGAAACTGTGGATGCAAACTGTGGATGTTGCATCGCGAGTCAGATCAAAGCTCTCACACAAATACACGAGGTCTGTTTGGAAATAAAGTCATGATTTTGGTTTAATTACTAGGATACAACAGCACGAATTCAAAGCATCCGAAGTCGTTAGGCGCCACAAGAATACGTTGTTTTTGGCAAAGTTTGTAATCAAATTGGCTGTAGCATTAAAAAATAACAAATAGTTCCAACTTCAAATTCTATTTACACAACAAATACACACTGCCACATGGTTAATTGTATATATTGGATATACTGTATATACAGCACATTTAAAGCGGGTTATTCTGTGGTTCCAGTTACGCTTTTAAAAAGTCGTGGAACTGAAGTGCCTCAAGTGTCCTGGCGCTGGGCTGGCCGTCGACCATCTGTTCGCCTGTACGGTGTGTTCCTCAAATCTAAAGGCAGAGCAAAGACGGCAGCTTTTCAACAGTACGTCAACATCAAACTTACTGCACCCTTATCTGAAACACCACCACGTGACTCCTCCAGGAAGCGTCGAGGTACCGTACCTGTGATGATGTCCTCCAGAGCGCCGTCCTTCCCCTCGCGTACCTGAGGTTTCACCTGCCTCTTCTTCAGCTCTGCTATCAGGTCCATCTTCGGCATCATGGGCCCCTGGAGAAGAGAAAAGTGTTTGAAATCAAAGTAGATGAGTAGAAGAGTTTGAGTGTCACAGGTGTAAGTCACAGATTTGTTCTAGTTGATGGTTTCTGTTGCATGAAGTATTTCTGAGGAAACTGCACCTTCACAATAAAACATAAGCAGCTAAAGGTGCAATGTGTAAGATTTGGCCAAAATTTGAGTTCAAAACATTCCAGAGGACTTCTCAATAATTCATACATGGTCCGTGTGTGTTTCATAGTTTGTTTATTGGATTAAATCCAAAGTGGCAGGAACGATAAGGAACTACAGGCACCTTGACGAGATGAAGGTGCGTGTCGTTTTCACTTTTCTGCCAATTTCGATTTAATCTAATAAACTATCAAAACACACACAGGCCGCACAGCCTCTGTTTATGGCTAATGTAAACTATAGGCCGATGCCACACGTGAAGAATATAACACAGCAGTGATACTTTGACCAATTTTGCGTATTCTTGCCCTGCTGTTAGTTAGAAGTTAACTTTTTATTGAAATAACAGGAAGCTGTACATTTAGATTGCATGGACCCAGAAGGAGAGGTGAAATGCTGCCCCCTGTTTCTTTGCTGCAGGATGCTGCATGTTACACATCGCACCTTTAAACAAAGTTCATGAATCTCTGATGTGTCATTTCTGAAGACTGGACCTTTGACCTCCTACCTTTTGTACCCCGGCCTTGTTCGGAGATGAGGACACCTTTTCCTCACTGCTCTCACTCTCCATTTTCTCCATTTTCTTTTTCTGCTCAATCTGTTGCTGTGCCGCCTGTGTTCAATCAAGGAAAAGATAATTAATACGCCATGCAACGATTGTAATGGATGAACATCTGAAAACCTACCACACATCCTCACCTTATAGGCCTTTATCAAGCGTCCAAACGTCGGGAAAAACATGGAAGGCTGCGTGGTTTTGGGGTTCTCACCGAAATACTCCACCACTGAGCCGTATGCCTCCTAGAGGGAGTCAGACATGTTATACGTCTAAAAGCATGTAGTGAGGCGTAAGCTGTGTAAATTTGACATGAATTACCAGCTAACCTGTGCCGTCTTGCTGTCTTTGATCAAAGTTTCCAGCTGCTCACTGTTGGTTTTGATGAAGTCCTTCAACACGGGGCTGTCGTCCTGCACCAGGAACTCCTTTTTGGTCATTTCCATTCCCCGTTCTAACGAGCGGATATCCTGAAGGATGCCGTCCAGTGATACTGGCAAAGAAACAACTGTGTTTATAGTAACGCTCCCACTGTAAAATCACAAGCTACGTAACTGCTTGACTGTTGGTGTGAATGTACCGAGTGCTGCCTTGTCCACAAAGTGGATCTCGGTGTGGAAGTCGGCCAAGTCGGCGTATTTTTCCTGGATGATACTGGTGATGAAGTGAAGAAGCGTCTGCGAGCGGTCCGTAGACTTCGTCTCCAACAGCTGAAAAAAGTTAAGTGTTGACAAAGTGAATTTAGGTATTACAGTTGTTTTTAAAAAATCAAGACGAGTAACTTTTGCTTAATAGCATTCGCTTTGCCCACTCGGACAATAATGGGATAAAGGTGAATCTATCTAACGTTTGCTAACATTAGCTACAGTGGAGAATTTCAGTATTAAACGCATTATTAGTAGGATTAAATAACACCCCTAGTGGTGAGTAGAAGTGTCACAATAATAACTATGTTAGTCACAATATGTTTCCATATGGAATGTATTATGGTTATAATATCCTCACTTATAGAGGATATTATATGTTACAGTATATTAACTCATTGAATGTATTAAATCATAGAAGTATAGTCACTAAAGGTATTAAAACACTGTATGAATAGTTTTGAGGGTCAGTAAGGGATCATTTTTGAATGAGCCTTTTCAGAGGTGCAGCAGGGGGACGGACAACTGACCAGCAGGTCAGAGAGGAGGAGTTCAAGATGTTTGCCACAAAGGGTCGATCCAGGGAGGGGACAGGATTCAAATGGAGCCAATCACTGATCAACGGAGGATCATTCACACGTTTTAGGACAGTTCGGACACTTTCCGACTGTCAGGGGATATAAAAGACAACGTTCTAGAGAGCGTTCCTCAGACCACTTCCGCTCTCGTTTTTCAGAACCTGGACTGGCCAGACCTGTGAGTGAGGTGCGGGCATGTGGTCTCTGTTCTCGAGAACATTACTTTTGATAGTTAATTCAGTTTGTAAGTGAACTTTGTGTAGTACATTAAATATTGTTTTAATTTTAAACCGGATCCAGCTTATTCTTCTGATGCGCGTGCGCAGTAAGAAGCTCGCAGCAGAAGAGTACCTGCGGCCTGCAGGCTCTCTCGTCCTTTGTTCTTAAAAACCTAACACGCTCCATTTTGCTAATGATCAGACCAGACCAAGTAAGGCTGTTATGGTTGAAAGCATTAGTGTACTGAATTGAGAATGTGTGTTATTTCTCATTTCAAAAGTAACATAGTCTCGCTTCAAATTCAAAGAGTAAATGTAAAAAAGGAAATGCTACTTACAAGATCCAGACTCTGCAGCCGAAACCCGTACGCTGCACCCCTCTTACTGCTGTTCATGTAGTTGCCAAAGGCGAGAATGATCTGAGGGGAACATGTTAGAAGGTGACTTGTGCAAAATCACACGTTTTGAAGCTACATCAGAATGTTGAATTCTCTTTTACTTACTTCTAAGATCTTTTTCAGTTTGGTTGAAGACTTGATGGACATGGACGCCGCGATGATGGAGTTCAGTTGCTGTGGATGAAGTGAGAACAAAATCAGTGCGTCTGTTAAAGCTTTAGAGCTTAAATCTGAAGTCGGAATACATTTGACTAACTGACCGGCTGAATGCGTTTGACCATATCCGGGAAGTTGCCCATGAAAGTGAAAGTGTTTATTCGCTGCTTCAGACGGGGAATCTTCCCAAAGCGTAAAACGAACTGATCCTCGTCAGTCAGCTCCTCCAGTGGGCGGCCATCCTTCTCATAGTTGAGCAGCAGCTTCATCTCATAGTCTGATGGTATGAAGGGCACGAGTATCTCCAGCAGGTCTATGGACAAAGTCTTCTGGTCGTACCTGTGCAAAATAGCAGTGAAAGTCACAGCAGTCAGCGCATGAGAGCGAGAACTGAGGAATGCCAACAATGCAACAGATTTTCTAAGAAGCACATACGTCTCTATGGCGGTGCAGATAGCGGACGGGTTCATTCCCCCTCTGCGTAAAGTGATGGCCAGATTCTTCGCCTTGTTGGCTTCGATCAGGGTCGTCTTGCTGGGGGCCTTCTGGACCACCTTCTTCTTGATGTTGGACAGGTCTGTTGTATTTCCCTGGGCCCTGGTCTTAAAGTGTTCCTCAAACATATCCATGTTCAACTCCTGATGTAGACAGAATGAGAGACAGAGAGAGAGAGATGAGAAGGTCAGGATAAAAAAAGTGTTTTCACACTGCAGTTTTCTAATAAACCGTACGGAGCAAGTGAAAAATAAAATGGCGGCATCTTCTTACATCTAAGACCTTCTCGTCATCCAGGTCGTTGAAAACGGTGCCTGTCACCTGGTTTGGTTTTAAGGCCTGCCAGTTTAACAATGGCATCCTGAACTTGGTCTGAATGGGCTTCTTGGTCTTAACCGCTGAGGAAACAAAGAAAGACCAATCAAACAATTAAGATCTTTACTGCTCCATCTCTGATTTTAGTACTTCTTCTCTTCTGTCGAGTTCATTACCAGATTGAGGGCCTGGTGCTCCAGGCGGTGGAGGCGGTCCAGCACCAGGTGGAGGAGGCGGTCCAGCACCAGGCGGGGGAGGTGGGGGTGGGGGTCCAGAACCAGGTGGGGGAGGTGGTGGTGGTGGACCTCCTCCAGGAGGAGGCGGAGGAGGAGGTGGGGGCACAGCACCGCAACCTCCTAGAGGAGGCGGTGGTGGAGGTGGAGGCGGAGGAGGAGGAGAGGCAACCGACCCTGGGCCACCAGAAGGAGGAGGTGGAGGAGGTGGTGGAGGGGCTGAGGCAGGAAGGCTGGCTGATGGGGAAGCAGAATCAGGGACAGAGGCCTGGACGTATTCGACCACCGTGACGGGCACCACCTGGATGTCCAGACCTCCGGAGGGACTGCGTCCCAGTCGGATCAGCCCCTTGTCCTGCAGCTCCTGGACCTTCTGCTCCAGCTCTGAAGCCGTCTGAGGGGGGAAGGTGCTCAGACGCTCCCTGTCCTTCTCCCTCTCCCTGTCCAGCTCCCGCTCCCGCTCTCTCTGCTGCAAGGCACCGACCTGGGAACAGGACTCTCGCAGGCTTTCCTATTAGACACAAACACGGATATAGAAACGCAGCTCATCTCCACTCAGAACATTTAATACACAACATATCTTCACACTTTGAACGTCAACATGCTCACAATGACAGTGCTAACATGCTAATGTTCAGTAGGTAATGTTTAGTGTGTTAACATTCTGTGTAGGAGCTGTTTCACTAGATTTATTTGACTATTATTTGTTATTTTTGTAGTTATTGTTGTTGACACTAGGGGCACTAAGCACCAGATGAAGCACTTGTTCAGGTGAAATGATAAAGTGTGTTAATGTCAGGTGATGCACCAGGAAGAGAAATGTTGTTTTCACCAGAGCAAGAGAGAGGCAGCATGATGAATTCATGTTCACTATACGTGGATCTTGCCTGGACGTTGCCTGAGCACAATCCGACTGAAACGGTGCATCAGTGGCCTTTTGATGTAAGTTTTGTTTTTTGAAAAATAACTTTTTTTACGTGCTGAAATTTGCTGATTAACACAAAACACAAATTACTTTTGCAGGACTTTGGTCGTTAACCATAGCTTTTGACAAAGTAAAATATTGACCTTTTGGTGGTGCTAGACGAAAAAGTTAAGAGACTCACCATTACAATTATAATTCATTATTACAATTCATTCACTCATGGTGATGCTAGAGGACAAGTCAGGGGGTCACCAAAGTCATTAGGATTCATCCTCTTAGAACTATGAATGTCTGTCAAATCACTGTTGAGATATTTCAGTCTGGACATCCCCAGAGCCAATGTCGCTATCGGCGAAGACGCGAGGTCATTTTGATATATTTGAAGAGTGCAAATGTTCTCATCTTTCTTATTTCATATTGAGGATGATTAGATTTTACTTTCATATTAAGATTATTAAAATAAAGTGAACTGCCACTCTTTTGACCTCATTATAACTGATCTCTGTGAGAGCGGCACACCTTGCCTGGCTGATTAATCTTATTAAACACTATACATGTCACGGAGCAGCTCTTACTTTGAGCAGCTCGGTCTCCTTGGTCGCCTGCATGAGCTGAGTCTCAAGTTCAGACATTCTCTCTGCAGTCTGAGTCTCGACCTCCTGAAGCCGGGCACTCAGCTGCAACACACACACACAACAAAATGATATTGTCAAAGCCTCAAGTAGTAACATCAAAGCCTCTCTTTGTTCTCAGAGGTTCCTGTTTGCCTTTCGTTTGTGGCTGACCTGCACGTTGTGCTCCTGCAGTTCGTCCACATGCTCCAGCACCCCTCCTCTGTTCTCAGCGTCCTCCAGCAGGGCTCCGACATCCAACACGTTGTCCAGGTAGGCCTGGATCTGGACCTGCAGCTTCTCGCTCTCTGTTTGCTTCAGACGCTAACACACAAACACACACAAAAGCGGCACACTATTAATAATCTGGCGCAAGTTTTAAGTAATAATGTACATACAATAAGAAAGTAAGTAATCCAACGGTAATTCGATTATCAAAATAGTCTAATTTATTAAACGTTTCATATTATATTCTCCGTTAGATTAATTTAGACATTTTCTCTCAACCAACATTTGCCTCCAGCATAAAAGTAGGGAAGTTATTATCTGATACGAACAGGTTGTCATCAGCAGAAAGTAAAGGGAAGGGGATTCAGCATGCAGCAGCAACATTGACTTGACCAGCTGGACATCACAAGTTACTTTAAACTCATCAGATGACATGCGTGACAAGCTGCTTGATGCTTCACACGCCGTCTACACTGACCACTGAGATTTATAAGCAAACTCACCCTGAGATACTTGTCCAACCCGTGGTTCGTGAACTCAAACTGTAGATGAACACGGAAGTTCATGTTCTCCACCGAATGCACCACAATGTTGATGAACTGCATGCAAGCCACCTGGACACAGACGCAATGACAATTAACTATTTAAAAAGTCCCAATATTTGTTACAGTCAGCCAGCGTGAAGGCAGTACATCTGTGGACCTACCATGAAGTCGATGTTGCAGTCATCGTTGATGAAGTACTCCATCAACTTCTCAAAGCGGTTCTTCTCTTTGCTCACCTGAGAAATAAATAGGAACTTGTATTTTAATTGTTGCCCACATGGGGGCGTAAATGGGGCATCGATGCAAAATGTTATATCTGTCACATCTCAGCTACACAAACAGGGTGTATTTCTTACCCTTGCACCCATTCTTGAAATTACACACACATGCGTGACTGCTCCACATGTGCTAAAAGTATGACCACAGTGCGCGTGAGGGGTGGATTGTGCCAGTCATAAGATGAGTAATCAACAAGGGGAAGTCTGGAACAATGGTTGGGCTGAAGGAGCAACTGTCAAAGTCAAATGACAAAAGTAAAAAAGAAAGCTAATACAAAAAACTATTTTCACCTCTTTCAAGTTGTCAAAAGCAGACAGAATGATGTCATGTCCGCCTCTGACGAGACACACGGCAGCCAGCAACTCCAACACAAGGGCTTTGGTCCTGTTGCAGCATAGGAGGGGGTTAGATATGGATGCAGACGGACACACACACACACACTTTGTCTCACGCACAAGTGCACTCACCTGGGATTCCTGCTGTTGAGACTGAGGGTGATCTCGTTCACACAGCGCGGGTGAGTCATCACCAGGTTAAAGCCAGACTGAAAGCAGAAGGAAAGCATAAACAATTGTTTTCCCCAAGAGAGCCGGTGCCTTAAAGGATGCAGGAAAAATACACTGTAGGCTTTTTATAATACTTTAAATCAAACAATTAGTTTTATCTAAAAGTGTGTTTTACTTCAAACAAGCAAATATTGAAACAATAAAGAAAACATACTTATTTATATTATACTCCATTTCCACCAATAGATCCCTCTAAATGCTACACGGTGTTCATTTAAAAGCCTGTTTTTATGACAGAAAATGAGACATGTGACTGTGTATGTTGAAGCTCTACCTGGTAGTTCATGATGGCTCGCAGGCACATAATGCACACATGCACGTCGTCTCTCTGGTTGGATGAATGGGACTTCTTATACATCTTGTTCCCCAGAGTGGAGCTTATTCTGCAGAGGGATAACAAGCGTATAGACGCATGAATACGTCGCTGAGGAGAGGAGAAGCCGCTGTGTGTGCTAATGGTTTGAAGTTGAGGCCCAGAACGGCGCAGTTGGCCAATTATAACAAGGCTTCCGGCATTGTGTTTTTTTTTTTTGTGCATCCACTGTGTCTGTCTGACAGCTGAACATGTTGCACCAGGTGGAAAGGAAAATAAAAAGCAAAATACTCCACAAATGAGCAAAGGATATGAATGAATGACAGTGTGAGAGATTGAGGTATTGTCAAGTATATCAAGAGGAACGGCTGTCTAGCAATAAGAGGAAAGGGAATAAGAAGGGCAGCATAAACAGAATGCTGTACAATAAATAAATAATTAAAAGCATATTGAGTGAAGTTAGAAAGATGACAAATGTTCTGCTGGTGTGCTTTGGATCATTGTCCTGCTGCAGAACCCAAGTGCGCTTCAGCTTGAGGTCACGAACAGATGGCCGGACATTCTCCTTCAGGATTTTTTGGTAGACAGCAGAATTCATGGTTCCATTTACCACAGCAAGTCTTCCAGGTCCTGAAGCAGCAAAACAGCCCCAGACCATCACACTACCACCACCATATTTTACTGTTGGTATGATGTTCCTTTTCTGAAATGCCGTGTTACTTTTACGCCAGATGTAATGGGACATACACTTTCCAAAAAGTTCAACTTTTGTCTCGTCAGTCCACAGAGTATTTTCCCAAAAGTCTTGGGGATCATCAAGATGTTTTCTGGCAAAACTGAGACGAGCCTTTATGTTCTTTTTGCTCAGCAGTGGTTTTCGTCTTGGAACTCTGCCATGCAGGCCATTTTTGCCCAGTCTCTTTCTTATGGTGGAGTCATGAACACTGACCTTAATTGAGGCAAGTGAGGCCTGCAGTTCTCTGGATGTTGTTCTGGGGTCTTTTGTGACCTCTTGGATGAGTCGTCGCTGCGCTCTTGGGGTAATTTTGGTCGGCCGGCCACTCCTGGGAAGGTTCACCACTGTTCCATGTTTTCGCCATTTGTGGATAATGGCTCTCACTGTGGTTCGCTGGAGTCCCAAAGCTTTAGAAATGGCTTTGTAACCTTTTCCAGACTGATAGATCTCAATTACTTTGTTTCTCATTTCTTCCTGAATTTCTTTGGATCGCAGCATGATGTCTAGCTTTTGAGGATCTTTTGGTCTACCTCACTTTGTCAGGCAGGTCCTATTTAAGTGATTTCTTGATTGAGAACAGGTGTGGCAGTAATCAGGCCTGGGTGTGGCTAGAGAAATTGAACTCAGCTTTCCAAAGATGTGATAAACCACAGTTAATTTATGTTTTAACAGGGGGGGCAATCACTTTTTCACACAGGGCCATGTAGGTTTGGATTTTTTTTCCCCCTTAATAATAAAAACCTTCATTTAAAAACTGCATTTTGTGTTTACTTGTGTTATCTTTGTCTAATATTTAAATTTGTTTGATGATCTGAAACATTTAAGTGTGACAAACATGCAAAAAAATAAGAAATCAGGAAGGGGGCAAACACTTTTTCACACAACTGTATATATATATATATATATATATATATATATATATATATATATATAATCATATAATCTGTAGACATCTCTGGGTTATTGAACTCTGTTTCTCACGGCAGGCTGTACCTAAAAATACGCCGTTCATGTCTGGAGCTTCTTACCTGACAGTCAGAGCTCGAGCAGCTCTGGTCATCCCATGTGACGGAGAGCCGCTGGAGCTTTTGGACAAGTCCTCCATCGACCTCTGTGCTGGTTTCCCTCTCTCTGACAGGCTGCCACCATTTTCAACACTCTCCATATCAAACCTAGAGCGTTCATAGGAAATAAACATGGTGATAAAAAGCTCCATTGTAAGAGCACCATCGGTTCCTGAGAGACTTGTTTCACACCCGGCTGGTACTCACGAGACGTCACTTTGAGCATGAGACAGGTACTCCACCAGGATATCCAAACCTTTGTTCTGCTCGTTGAGAAACTCTTGAGCCCATCTACAAAAAGAGACAGAAAGAAATGTTTTGTTATTATAGATTCTGCCCTCAGATTGGACTTAAAATCAAGATTATGTAACTTTAGAAAGAAGAAATAACACAATGTTGCTCTTACAAAGGAAATGTTGAATTCAAAAGCAATAAACCGCACTCTTGCTCAATACAATGTGTGTGTGTGTGTGTGGGTGTGTGTGTGTGACCAGTAGCTTATGGTGGTTGATATTAGCAAACTTCAGATAGTTCTTGTTGTGTGACTGCCATTACTGAGCCAGTTTGCTGACTTTATGTGCTGCTGCTACGCTACATTTAAACTTGTCATCCTGGTGTTGTGGCTTGTGGATACAAGGTGTTCATCAAAAGTTAAAGGGTCGAATGCTCGGTGAACTCAAACTGACCATTCATCATAATGATGACACCAATAATTGGTAACTCACTGTGTGTTCCAGTACCCATGAAACCTATTTAGTGTGGACATCCTGCAATAGGACATCCTGGTATTTTTGGTTCACTGCATGGGACATACTTTGTATTGGGACAGACTAAATCTTTTCCTGAATGGTAGTTCGGGTATTTAAACGCAGTTTATTTCCTTTCTACCTTAAAGCTACTCTGCGTAGTTCTTGGCCACTAGCAGCGCTACAGAGCAACGTTTTGATGAGTGAGTTTTACAATATCCACAGGAATGAAAATGCACGCGCATGAGTACATCGGTTTCACAAACTATTCCACGGATTGACAGTTGGCGGGACGAACACGGTAAACAGTGTATGTAAACACAACTTTGTTACCCGATGTGATTGGTGCGAAGCGATATCTCCAAATCTTTGAGGACCTTGGTGGCATCTTGAATCCTTTTCTTCAGCTAAAGCAGGAGCAGAAGAAGCGAGAATCAAGACGTTGCTGCGCAGAGAGAAGATTAAAGACGTGTTACATATGAAATGCTTTGCACTGACCCTGCGGGACACCCCTCCTTGATCCTGGTAGAAGCTCTTGATCTTGGCCAGGTACGTGGACGGTGGGCTCTTCACCTGGAAACGCTCCTGGGGAAGAAGGATTCACAGGGAAACCAGCTTTTGACCCCCGTGGTTTTATCAGCAACCCTGAGAGACGACTGGACTGGAGGGACGTTTAGCAGCGCGCAGCCTCTGAAGCTATTATTGCCTTCGTGCTATTCAACACAACAGACTCACACCGCTCTCTGTTTCCATGCCGACGCCATCAGTTGCCACCACAGACAGTGTGCTGCAGTGTTACTCACGCTGCACTTGGCACTCTTTACCACATATGAACTCTGGGTATTTATGTACTGCGTCACCTCTGTCCCAGTGGAGACACGGGGGACAGAATTCGGCTCACTTTGACCACTCGTATGTTGAGGGTTAATTGTGAAACGAGCTTGCTATCAGTGTGTGTGTGTGTGTGTGGGGGGGGTTCTTACCTGATCACAGACTAATTCCCACTTCTTTTCATTGTCATACTGACTCAACAGCTGCAGTTTGTCTGGAGGCAAGTTCATGTAGCTCTGAAAGAGAGAGAGAGACTCGGTAAAAATAAAACCATAAGTTCACATTTGTCATTTCTGTTCTAAAATTCATCGTCACTCCTCCAGTGACATTCAGCACACAATTATTAAATCTTTCCTGCCGATGCGACAATATTCAAATCAACCAAACCACACACTCTCCCTCTGAAGCGGGTTATGTGCCTGCCGGAAGCACAGATGACTCAGTGTTTATATGCATGTGTGTCACTCGGTGCCACATACCTCAGAAAATAAATACTTTTGGTCATTGCACAGAAATGAAAAGACTAATCTTAGAGCCTTTGTTCGTGCGATGGTGGTATGTTGCATTCTACATTTCTTTAGTGAAGATAGAGATGATGAAACAAGCACATGTAAAAAAAAAACATTAGAAAACCAACTCCACAACAAAACCACAACAACCCTTTTCATTTATTTGTTGGTTTCCTTTTTATTTATTTATATGATCGAGGTTTAAATATAGATTATGGCAATTTTATAGACTTTCTGACAAGATTGAACTTTTTTGTATTTATCAAATACATTCCTAGTACATCACATAATATTTCTATGATCCACTCAACTGTATGGAGAACAAGAACCCCTCCCCCACCTCCACACCTCTCTGGTGCAGGTTGACTCAATCGTCTAAGGAGTTGACATATTGCCCAGAAAGTGCAGTTTCACTTTGCGTTACCACCCTCAACCTACAGGGACATGTTTGACTCCTGATGTAAAGGTTAATCCCCCATTCACATGGCTTAAAACTGAATGATTTAATAAACCCAAATTAAGGTTTATTAACCTGATATGGGAGTTTGTGTGTGAAAAAAATAAATAAATTGGAGTCAGAATGGTGCTCAAGTGCTTTCGTTGATCACTGGTTAAGTCAGTAATTACATTCTTGTTTATGTTTTGCTCTAAGTTGATTTTTTAAAATACATTTTTCCTTCACATTCACAACACTGCTGCAGTCTACACACCAACCACTGGTCATTCACCTGATCCAAGACCTGCAAACACACTGATGCTTAACTGACAAGTCGTTTCAGTAGATGGGTGTTGCTCCTGAATATACCCGTATTCAAACAGTGGTCTGTAGTTTCTCTGTCACACTTTAAAAAAAACAAAGAGATGCAGAAAAAGCAACGGGCGGTTGCGTTGCTGCATGGGAGTTTCATTCTCGGTGGAGTGAAGGGAGGGGTCTCATTGTGGGTTTTGTGGTACAAACTTACCAAAAAATAAAACAAGGTCCAAAGACTCACATGAGTGTTTGTGAGCATGCTCACTTGCATGAACATAAGTATGAACTCCCTAAGTTTAGAAACAGTGTCATGCACTCCTCATTTCCTTGAGTTGGTATTGCAAATATGAAATCTTGAATTAAGGCATATCTGAAAATTACATTTAGAGTATTTTACTGAAAGAGGAAGTGAGGTCATACTTTCATGTAATGCCTGTGAGGGCGTTGTAGGCATGAAATGGCACACTGCATGTGCACTACTTCTCGTATGATGACATTTACATCGACTGAAGAGGTTTTATCAGCTTGTGTCACGGGTGAATTTTGACATGAAGAAAGTGTTTTCAATAATATGTGATTATGAGTTTCCTTGATAAGGATCAACTTTCACATTTCTTTGTAATTTCATGTTAGTTAAAGAAATTCATGGGAACATTTGGATGGATGTTTGCATCAATGTTTGCTAATTGTTCAGACGTTACCAGAGAAAAAATACAAACCTGCAAAGCCCATCAGCCATTTTATCATTTTAGCTACAACAAGTGGATAAAGTGGATATCTTAAAAAAAAATTCAATTTCTATACTTTTTTTTTTTTTTTTTTTTTTTTTTTTTTATGTTTTATTTACGGATTAACATCTATACAGAGAGAAGAAAATAAAGCTATCAAACAGTCCCTGGAGGAAACATCTGCCTAACTGCTGATGTAAGTCTTCACTGTCTTAAATTAGGAACGTCTGTCTAGCAATAAGACGTCCATGAAATGGAATAAGAAGGGCAGCAAAAGCAGAATGCTATACAATACAGTAATAAAGGCATATTGAGTCAACGAGAGATGATTTTTGTCCTCTTTACATTAATATCTGTCGCTCATTAAGCTTCCAGCATCTGTTTGCTTTACACATCTGCAGACTTCATGCTGTTCATCCAGAGACAAAAGATTTGGCTCCATCATTAAGCCATGATGTCACACTTACGTGGAGCGTCATAGAAATTTAGAGATTCATATGAATTCACTAGTGAGCAGAGAGCAAAGTTCTAACCATATGGATACACATTTATACATTTAGGTGTAGAGTCAAAGTCAAGCTTCTCATTGACGTTAATGGAGAAGCTGCAGTGTGTCAGTTTATATCTTGTTTGTTAACTATGCTCATTAACATGATAACGACCCGGGTAAAAAGATAAAAATCTGATCTCTAACCTTTTTTAAAAGTTATTTTTGTTGTTTATTTCAGATTTAAATGTGTCAGCAGCTCTGATACTAAACTTAAGGTTTTGATGTGTTACTCTTAATGGTGTCTCAAGTGCTTCATCGTGACGTTTTTGTTTTTTTCAACTTGTAAGACTGTTGAAAGAGCGGTGGAACATTTGCTTTCCGGTCTTATGGTCTCGCTCATGTAAATATGTTGCTCAACTTCCCCTTTGGGGCCAGCCACCTCAGCATGCACTAATCGCCCTGTTACTAGCCTGACACGCTCAGATCTAACAAAGAAGCAACGAAGTCCTTCTAACATTACATTTATTGGGATAACTCTACAGTTATTGGGCTGTTATTATATGATTGGACAAAATTACATCTTTGCAAAAATCACATTTAAAGGAGATATTTGGCAACGTTTGGCTCTCTGGACCCACATTGAGAGACAACAAATTGTGTTCTGGCAGCATAAATCACAAGTCCAGAGGGTTCAAAACACTTGCTACCTATAATAACTTTTTTGTGCCTCTGAGTCATACCTGCATAATTATCCCAGCTTTTACAGTAAGCCTCTACTACAAAACCATAGCTGGCATTGGTAATATACCGAGGGCATGACCTCTGTGCATCCACTCACCAGCACCACGTTGAAGCGCTCCTCCAGCTCCTCCTCTGGCGGCATGGGTAGTTTAGTGGGAGCCGGCTGCTTCTTCTGCAGGGTCGGAGTGGGGTCACTCATTCCTGAAGCTCCTCCGACTGAGTTTCTGGCCTCTCGCCCCTCAGACGGTTCCTGCTCCAAGCTCCCGGCAGCCGCATTCCCCATCACTAATCTCCACAAGTAATCCAGGAGGAAAGCTTTACACAAACCTTTTCTCCTGAGAAATCGGTGTATTCCAAAAACAGAGTGACAAAAAAGGGATCACTCTGAATGACAAGAACAAGCAGGCCTAAATCAAACCAAGTGTTTGAGCCTTCAAGGAGAGGAACATCAAGACCCTGGTCTACTGAATCCGCCTTGGTCCTGAGGACATGGTGGGTGATGAAAGAATGTCGCTCGTCCTCATGTCTGGCCTCGCATCAACTTATCTCTCTCTGTCTACAAGCACCTTTGACAAGAAGGTTACCAGCCTTGCTGGGGGCCTGCTGGGCTCTAAGAAAAGCCCCACCTTTAGTGTCACCCGGTATTCTCTACACTTGTTGACCGACAACTCCTCTGGTATACAGGGCTGCATGTGAGAGGAAGGAGAGGGGAGTGTGACACACTTTGTCACACAAACAGAAACCACAGAAGCACAAAAGCAGAAGAGCAACTTCCTGTGCATGACAGCAACAGAAACCGGGGTGGAGGACAGGGTGGAAGGTGAACACGGTAACTGATCGGTGTGGCGTGCAAGAAGTAGTAGAATGGTGAGAGAGAGAGATAATGTAGCACAGCAATGAAATAAAGCAGAGTGTCAAAGGTTAAAGAAACATATGTGAAGGTGCAGATGTAAAATCAACCAAAGGAAACTTTCCCTCGCTTATACCGTGAATCCACTTTCACTACACTAGAGCCACTCATCCTCTTGAAGCCAGCTTAACTTGCATTGGGCAACATGTGTTTTGGTCATTTTCCTTCACGTGAAGCCAGGTAGATGTGGAGGACAGGTGACTGTAGCTACAGGTTACAGAGGGTTGTCCAACAGCGCCTCACTGTGTTTGAAGCCATCTACTGCATGCATGACTGCTGCATTCGAAGTCTCCTCGGAAATTGCCACCTCCTGCTGTTTTACTGTAAATGGACTTTGTGAAGAAATGAAAATTATGCCAATGAACACTGTTCTTTCTCTAACGTCTCTTACAGTGAAACACTCGTACAATTAGCTGCTTCATGACGAAGCCGACCTGTTTTTTGATCATTTGTGCTCACGAATTAACGCTAGGTCCCTCGGGGTAACTGATTTTGAAATTAGCCGTTGACGCAAGTTATCAATAAAAGGGAGCACGAATTACCAAAAATGTACTAGGTTAGCTGATACAACTGGATCTGCGAGAAGTCTTTATTTTGTATTTGTTCATATGAAAGAGGGAGATCAGTTTGTCTGTAACGGTTTTCAAGCAGAATAGAGGAGGAATTTCCGAGCAGCACGCGAAGGCAGCACAGCTATCAGTTATTTTACGTTCCAGGATGACGGACCCGACAACGTCTCCAGAGGACCACTGGAAAGTAAGTAACACATGTTAGTTAGTTACTCAGTGAACCTCTACTTTGGTTTACTTAAATCGGTTCGTACGTCTGCCGCGTGACGGCAGTGATACGTGTCAAACAGTCTAGCGGTTTAAGTTTTGCTGATGTTTACGGAGCAGCAGCGCTTTGTTAGCTCGACAGCTAACGTTAGCTAGCAGCTAGGTGAAACGTCACAGAGCGACAGCAGTTGGCTCGTTAAGTAAACAACGCTCGTGTTACTCGTTTGTACATAAAAATAGATTTGCACACACTTTAAATGGCATGTTTGTTTTTTACTTTTCTTATTTATTCATTTCAAATATCCACGTAAATTACATTTATTGAAGAGTCTGCCAGAAAGGTGCAGGAAATCTATCTAATCTAAATTTACAGGATTACAGCAGCATAGTGGAGTATATAACGTTATATATATATATCTATCTATCTATATCTATCTATATCTATATATACACGTATATCTATATATACGTATATATATATGTATATATATATA